TACACGGCTAGAAGCAAAGGAGGTGCCACAGCAAGGGCCAGGTGGTGATTGTGGAGTTTATTGCCTTAAGTTTATTGAATATCATGCTCTTGGACTGCCATTTCCTCCGTCACTGTGTCCCGCCAACATGAAAGTTATCAGACAGAAACTTGTGGTTGATATACACCAGGAGACCAAGTGCCACGGACCTCCAAACCAGGACTGGGCGAATATGTGGTTATACGAAGGCACCTGACTTCTCTTCTCTCGTGTATTATTTTTTGTAACGAACTAATTTTTTGGTGTATCTGGTTGATGTGGTTAGAAAGTTTTTGGTGTAACCCGTCAAAGAACAGAATATGTAACCGTAGGTTAACATGTAACATGGATTGTGTTGAATTCTTGGGTTGCTGAATTTATGGAGTAGACTTCTCTCGTCACGAGTAGACTTCTCGTGTCACGAGTGGACTTCTTATCAAGTAGACTTCTCTAAACTCGAGTAGACTTCTTAAAGACAATAATAATACATAACTTAATGATGATTCAGAGGGACATTTCCCCCATTTATATGCATATCTTGACAACCTAGTAGACTTCTCGTGTCACGAGTAGACTTCTTATCAAGTAGACTTCTCTAGACTCGAGTAGACTTCTTAAAGACAATAATAATACATAACTTAATGATGATTCAGAGGGATATTTCCCCCATTTATATTACATATCTTGACAACCTAGTAGACTTCTCGTGTCACGAGTAGACTTCTTATCAAGTAGACTTCTCTAGACTCGAGTAGACTTCTTAAAGACAATAATAATACATAACTTAATGATGATTCAGAGGGACATTTCCCCCCATTTATATTACATATCTTGACAACCTAGTAGACTTCTCTTGTGTCAAGTAGACTTCTCGACTTGTTCAGATTCAATCAGCACCATCATCGAATCTCTACATATGATTTTATTGAAGTTAGACTACATAACGACTTGGCATGAGATAAAACAAAACACACTAAGTACAATGTAAATATTAACTTACACAATAGGGGCGAGTATGACCAGGTTGCTTGCACTTGGAGCAACTGTATTGCTTATGCATCTTTCTTGGTCTTGTGCCTTTTTTCCTAGACATTTCTAGCCAAGTTTGCCATCTAGATTTTTTCTTTCTTCCAGGAGGAATCTTTATGACTGGAACACCACATGGTTCCTTCTTGACATCATTTTCATCAGAAATAGGCGGGTTAATGGGATGGGAGTATGCCGCATATAAGGATTCCCGTGAGTAAGATGGACACACAAGTGTTGACAATTTCACGTTGGCCTCTTCTGCCGCTGCAATAACATGTGAGCAAGGGATTTTTTCAACATCATACACACCACAAGAACACTTCCTTTGTTGCAAATCAACAATACAATCTCGTGCTCCACCCTTAACAAAGAAACGCCAGCCATCAATGGGTTCTGCCTTCAAATCTCCTGCCTCATATTCTCGAATTGCCAATAGATACTCTACTCCACGGGTATGGCTCGTTGTGAGACTTAGAGCATCTTCACGCCTTTTATGATACCATCTTCCGAGCTTTGTTCTTATAAACTCTAACAGAAATGTGATGGGAAACCCTTTGGCTTCCTTAACAGCCGCATTGATCGATTCTGCGATGTTGCTAGTCTTTATGTTGTACCTGTCTCCCGGGAAATGGACTCGTGACCATAACCTCGGGTCCGCAGTCTCCAAATATTGAGCAAGTCTGGGGTTTACCTCTCGGATTGCGTCCATGTATCGATTATAATCGTAAGTCGTATGTGCATATGCAGCACCTTTCACCAAGTACATGAGTTGCTTCCCGTGAAACTTAGTCACAATGTTTTGCTGCAGATGATAGTAACATATACCTCGTGTTGCCCATGGTATGACATTCTTAAATGCATCAACTATGGAGTCGTGCCGGTCAGAAACTAGGACAAGCGGATACCCATCTGAGAAACATCTACTCAATTTGATGAAAAACCAATTCCATGAATCATTACACTCAGAATCCACAATTCCAAAAGCCAAAGGAAATATCTGAAAGTTACCATCCTGTGCGGCTGCCACTAGCAAAACACCTCCATACTTCCCAGTTAGATGAGTCCCATCTACAACAATCACTCGCCTCAAGTACTTAAAACCAGCTATGGAAGCTCCAAATGAAATAAACAGGTACTTAAATCGATCCATCTCATCGCATACAAGGTCTGTGACACTTCCCGGATTAGCTCTCTCAATTTGACGCAAATAAGAAGGCAGCTTCTCATATCCATCTTCTGCTGTTCCTCTCACCAATTGTTGGGCATATATCAAAGCTCTATAAGATGTGGTGTAACTGAGGTTTAGACCAAACATCACCTTCATAGAATCTCTGATATGCTTTGGCACAATTCCATCGATTATGCTAACTCGTTCCACAAACAGAGCCCCAATGTACTTAGGTGTACAACATCTACGATGAGCTGACCGGTCTATCACAGAACAAGTATGATCTTTCAGATACTTTGTCACCCAGAATGTGTTTGCTTCGTTCTTCACACCCGCTCTAACCATCCAAACGCATCCTTTGACTGAACATTTTGCTACAAACAAAGACGTTGTAGACTTATATACTTTGAAAGCAAATCTCTTCATAACTGCCATCAATCGCAACTCAGATACAAGCTTCTCTTTGCTAGGAAAACTTTGATTAACAAAGATTTTAGACGACCAACTACTATCCAGTCGATCAAAACCACCACAACGCTCTCTTACACCCTCAACTTCATCCTCATCTTTAACTTTCTCGTACTCACTGTAATCCACATCTGAGTCATCATACTTTTCTTTCATATTCTGATTAACTTCATCTTCATTCAAACTATCAGCTTCATCCTCATTTTTAAAGTTTTCATAAAAATCTTCAGCGTCTTCATCCCAATCTTCTTCAGCATCAGAGCACGTATCTGCATGTCCATCCACATCATCATTCTCATGGTCCACTATCCTACTCGAAACACAAAGGCGAACACCATGCATCTTACTTAACTCAATCAAGCTCTGAACATGTCTATCATTTGTGACATACATAGGCGGAGAATCAGGAGGCATTTGTTGAAGCATCTGAGGTGGTAAGGGATAGGATAACTCCACCTTTGTTTCCTTTTCCAGCATATAATCCTCTTGCACCATTCCAAGAAGCTCAACATGTGTGCAACCATCTCTTAAGAACAACATCCGCCCTCTTTTGTTATTATCCACCTCGAACTGCCAAACTGATTCAGTCTTAACCCATTCTCCATAAACAGCGGGTATGTGAACCATTCTCTGTGAAAAAAAAAACCAAATCCAAACCACATTAGACATCAACGTTGCATAAGTAGACTTCTCGGTAAGTCGAATGAAGTCTACTTAGTAGACTTCTATAGTAGACTAAGAAGTCTACTCTTAATAAGCTAAGTATCATATAAAACATGAAAACTCATTCGACTATACCTATAAAATATAAACATGCAAAACTTATACATAAGCAAGAAAACTTAATAACAGAAGCTTAGGATCACGAAAATCATAAAAATTCGTTATATATTGTATATAAATGATTTTTTTTTAAAAAACAAGAAAAGTAGACTTCTCGGATAAAAGTAGACTTCTCTCAGGTTAGTTTTGCAATTGCCAAAATACTTACTTTCGTAAGTAGACTTCTCGCAGGTCATTTTTGCAATTGCAAAAATGACCTGCGAGAAGTCTACTTTTCCGAGAAGTCTACTTTTCCGAGAAGTCTACTTTTCATAGAGAAGTCTACTCTGAAAAGTCAAAGGTTGGTCAATTGCAAAAATGACCTGCTTCTAAAGAAGTCTACTCGAGAAGTCTACTCCATTTTTTTGTTATCAAAGGAAATGGAGTAGACTTCATTCGGACCAAAAGAAGTCTACTTTTTCATGCGGTCAATTGCAAAACTAACTTGGGCGTTGACTAGTAGACTTCATTCGGACCGAGTGAAGTCTACTTTCGGAGCCCAGAACTGAAAAACACCAAAATTGACTGAAAATCCGACTTACCACTCGCCTTTAGCTTCTTTTCTGGTCAAGATCTTCGATCCTAGCCACAATGAAAGAAGCACAACCGCAACAAACAACCAAATCGCCGGAATATAGAAATTTTTATGAACTTCAACTTTTTAATAGACAAATTATAGAGTTTTTGGGAAGAAAATAGAGAGGAAATGGAAGAATAGAAGCTTAAAGGGAAAATAATGAGCTCAACAAACTCAAAAATGGGTTTTTGCCACCATTAAAGCTTCAAGATTGGTTGAAAATGGTGGTTGGGTGAATTGATGATGATGGCATTTTCGTAAATAAGTGAGGAAGATGAGGATTAGTTGGTCAATTGAATTTTCGAAAATAAATAAAATTAATTAAAAACAATGGCAATTTCGTGAATAACTGAAACTATGAGGGATTGTTTGGACACAAAATGGCAAATGTTGGGAAGGTGATTTTTGTGGGTTAGATTTGCAATTCAAATCAAATTTTAGGTCATTTTTGCAAGTATCCCTTTTTTAAATGGCAATTTGCTTTATATAATTTCAAAAGAGGATCAAGTAGCAATTTAGTAGAGAAAATAAATTACATTTACCATTAGCATGAAGGTACTTAAAATTGTATTTTTTTATTCTTATATATATATTTATAGATAGTTAGCTAAACAAATTTGATAGTAGATTATAATTTTAAATAATTAAAAAATTAATGATATATAATGTTTATTCAGATTTAAAACATATAAATACATAACTTAAGCTAATAAAAAATAAATATAATATTCATTTACATTATAGAAATAATTTTATTATATTAAAAATATATATAAATGTAGAAAAAATATTTTGCAGCATAACACGGATAAATACCTAGTATCAAGTAAAAATAATAACAAGCAAAAATATTATAAATCTCATCTCTTACTCTTCTTTCTCACTACTATCTTCTCTCTCTCTCTCTCTCTCTCTAAAATGGTCGAGCGAATCTGGGTAATGATGAGAGACATGAAGGCTTTAGTAGCCATGGTGATTGTTCAAATAGGTTACGCAAGCCAAGACATTATTTTCAAACTCGTGGTCGAAGATGGTGTGAACGTCAGAGTTGTGGTGGCATATCGTCTCATCTTCGCCACCATTTTCATGTTTCTCGTTGCATTCATCTTTCAAAGGCTTGTTTACAAATATACGTATAACACATGCATGATGCATTCATCTTTCAAAGGTTTGTGTTCTAGCTCAGCGAGAAGCTTTATAATTAAAAATAATATATATATTGTTGCTCCATTTCATCAACTAGGAACAAGAGGCCAGAATTTACATGGAGACTGCTGATACTATCATTTCTCTCGGGGTTAGTCGGGTGAGTAACGTAAATCAACTAATGCTAATTATGAAAACATTCAGGAAATCAAAAGTTTCCTAAATTCTAATATTTTATGAATTTGGAGCATACAGCACAGCAGGACCGAATCTTCTATTGGCTGAGGCATTGGCTCGGACAACAGCTACGTTTATATCAACTGCGTACATTCTTGTCCCGTTCGTAACATTCGTCTTGGCTGCTGTACTTAGGTAATTCTTATAAGTTTACAAGAAATTAGGCGAAAATATAATTATGTATTCGTTTGTTTTACTTTTATTTTTTTCAAAATACGTTTTGTTTTATTAATGTATTAATTACTAGAATTTAGGAAACTTTGACTAAGAGTTGCTATATACATTAGTTTTATTTTTCCTAAACTTAACAGTTAATGTACATTAGTTTAATTTTTCAAGTATTATTTGTATAAGTTTGATGGTAGTGTGCATGAATGAGTGTGAACAGGTAATTAATTTGGGGTCTTTTCTAGTTCTTGAGTTAATATTAGCATATAATTAGTCAAACTTCTTATGAGTTATTATGACATTCCTTTGTTTTTTTTCTATACATTTGAAGTCAACAAATTTTATAGGTTAACTTCTATGAGAACTTTTTGGTCAATGTTTCCTTTATTCTGGTAATTAAAATTTACTTTGAACAAAATAAACTAAAATTAAAAACTATAATTACGAATACAACAAATCTTAGAATTTACTTTGTGCACATAAACTAAAATTAAAGACTATAATGGCTATGAATTTAACTGGCCATACTTCATTGACTTAGTAATAGAAAACCGGTTAAAGTTTTTACATTTAACGGGTCCTACTTAATTGAATTTTTTTTTTTTTTTTGTCAACACTTCATTGTCAAATTTTTATAATCCCTTTAATTCATAATAGTCTATATTTTATAGAAGGGTTTTTTTTTCTTAACTTACATGTATTTTTATGTTTTATAACAGTTTGTATTCAGTCGATTGTTTTATCATTGGCTGAATTGTGTTTATAGATAATAATAATCTTTTATTTTAAAAATATAAAAATTAAATCTTTTCTTAATCTGTGTGCAAAAACCTTAACATCATATATTTTGAAATAGATGAATATATGTAGCAAAACATAAAAGTTGCTAAAATTTAAGTTTATATCTCATGTGTTTCAAAATATTTGATGTTTAAGGTTTTTGCATACAGGTTAAGAAACTTTTTATTTTTATCTTTTTAAAATAAAAATCATTAATCATCTACCTAAACACAATTAAATTAATAGTAAAACAAACCTGCAAAATGCAAATAGTCATCAAACATAAAAAAAAATTAATAAGTTTTGCATTAAGAGTTGAAAACATTATATAATTTGAAACAATTTTTTTTCTTTAAAAAAAGTCAAATATTTTAAAACATGATAGTGTTTTTTAAATTAAATATTTATGTGCTTTTCTATATACCTCACAGAATGGAAATAGTACAACTTGAATCGAACTATGGAAAGGCCAAGGTGATTTGGACGCTGCTCGGTGTTGGTGGAGCGTTTCTTTTCGTATTGTACAAAGGAAAAGAGATTCATCTCTGGTCGACTCACATTTATCTGGGAGGTCAACCACATAGTGGTACCGGTCACAGCATTTCTTTGCTCGGAGGATTTCTTGTTCTAGGAAGTATGATCTCTTACTCCATCTGGATTCTCTTGCAGGCAAGTTTTCATTTTTTTTGTTTTGTATGTAAATATATAACTTGTAGATGATGCTAATTTCTAGAAAAGAAACTACATATCAAAAAATGTTATCATATAATTAAGATTAGTACAAAAACATGATAAACATTTTATTTATTTATTATTAAATAGGTTAGAATAGGTCAAGGACTTGGAGGACCATACTGGAACACGGCCCTGATGAATCTGATGGGGAGCTTGGTGACTTTTCTTGTGGCTCTTTGTTGGAAACCCAGTTTAGAAGATTGGAGATTAGGATGGGATATTACATTGGTTGCTCGTATCTTTTCGGTAACCAAACTAATGATTAAATTTAACTCTTTTTTATAGATTCTTGTTGGTATAATTAATGTCGCTTGTAGGAAATTATGATCTCGGGGATGGCATTCGCAGTCATTGTGTGGTGCGTGGAGTCTAATGGACCAGTGTTTGTGTCCATGTTTAGCCCTGTAAGACTTGTGGTTGTTGCCATTGTCGCATCTCTTATTTTATAGGAGCCAATTCATTCCGGGAGGTACAAAATTATGTTCTACGTGTTGATGTATTGATCAGTTCTTAAGTTATATATTATATATTAAAAAATTGTAGTTTTTGTTACTTGTCAATATTACAGCATTATAGGTTCAACCATTATCGTGGTAGGATTGTACCTCGTTTTATGGGCTAAGAAGAAAGAAATGAAGAATCCATCTGATCTTATAGAAACAAATATAGCAGATCGTAATATTGTCGTTTGATGTCATATCATTGTGACATGATAATTTAGGGGCCAAAACAACATTTAAAACTATTTTGTTTGGAGGTATTTAAGATTTCTTGTTCCTTATTTTTGGTCTTTTAAACAATGATTCTACTTAGATTTTTTAATTCAATTTCTAGTTAATCAAACTAGAACAAACTAATGACTAAAATTTATATTTATTTAAGATTATAGAATGGTCACCATCAGAGCCGGCCATGAAGATTCATGGGCTGCAAGCCTAAAAAATATCTAAGCCTATGAATTGATAAACAAAAACAGTTAATAAAAGAATATTTTTTTAGAGTTTTCAGGTATTCCAAACTTGAATTTGTCTCCTTAATTTCTAGTGTACAACCAACTCACCTAAAAAAATATTTAACAAGATTGTGACTGAAATTTTACTTGTTCTAAAAAAGACCGCAAGTACATGCTTTGCTTGCTTGGGCTCAAGGCCGGCAGTTGTCACGATTGAGAAAAAAGACAAAAAAAAAAAAAACTGAAACTAAAGATAGAGATAACTCTAGACAAATTTGTGATTGGAGGATAGAGACAGAGATATAATATAAGTTATCACGTAAAAGTAAAACTAATTATGTTATTTTAAATTATTATAAAATTTAATAATTGATTTGATTTAAATTTCAGCAACGAGTGTGTGGCCCAAATTACGCAAATCTAATCTCTTGACTATCCAAAGAATGTTCTTTGAAGATGCCATGCAAAGAGCCATTGGGTATTAGTTAAAATTTTGAAAACCTTATAAAAATGTGAAAATCTTTGCAATCACTTTATTTGATCTAATTTAACTCTATGTGATCACAAACCCAGCAACATCAAGTTCTCAGATTATTCTTATTTACTTTTCCTCCATTAATGTTGTCTCTTCTTCATTGCTTGCATGCAATGATGCAAAATAAGAACAAAACATGACAACTCGGGAAAACTTATGTATGATGAACCTATTTAAAGAAAAAGAAAAAACTAGAGACTATTATTATCGATTCAGCAATCTAAATATAGGTCTGTTACTATAAGATTGTAGAATTTTTTTGAATATATGGACCTCATGGTATATACATGTACATTTTGTCCTCCCACTCTAGTACGTATGTTAGGTAGAGAAAAAAACGTTAAAATACATATTGGGCCTGTCATAGCCTTTTAAATAATCGGCCCAAATTCAGTTCGTATACATATTGGATCTGTTGGGATTTCTCTGCGTTTTGACACATACATTTCTTTACTTTATGCACAAGTTTGTGAGCAAAAGCCTTAAAAGCAAAAAACTTCGGAAGCTAATGACTAATGTGGCAGATAATCTCTAAAGAACTCAATAATCTCATCTATTTCCCATTAGACCCATTTAAGGCATGGTTTCGTAGTTGTAATTTGCAGACAAATTAAGAGAGATTAAAGAAAGGTTGTGTAAGAAAGAAGAACATATTTTGTCTGAATAATTCTCATTTCACAAGAATTTTCCCATTCTTTGATTACAAATGAAAGAACTATAAGTTTTGTTGATTCTATATTACCAAATGCAGTAATCCATCGAATTTTTCATATTGAATGACTAAAAACAAAATGAAAAGTTCTAAGACAAAAGTTGTCAAAGGATCATAAGACTCAAAGCTAAATTCTCTTAGGATTTAAAAATTTACACAAAAGAAAGATTCAAGCAAAAGTAAAACAGAGCCATTTCTTGACCGCTGGTTTATCACCGTCTTGTTTTCTCTGAGAAGTCGTCTTCGTCGTACTCCTTCCCGTCTTTTTATCTTCACCGGCTTTGCTGAATATCACTGTGAATCCATCCGCCGTCGCCGGATCATTCACATCCCATTCCCCAAATTTCGGCAATGGCCTTCCTGCGTCGTTCGATGCCATTTTCGATCAAGAAAGTAACAATCTTTAATCTCTGAGAGAAACAACAAACAAATCTTTTTCTTCTTCTTCTTCTTCTTCTTCTTTAATGGTTTGATGATTTTGTTTTAGAGGGTCTAACCCACGATGGAGATTTATAATGGAGAAGTTGATTGAGAAGAAAGAAGAAAAAGGAAAAATTACAGATAAGTAAAAGATTGTCTTTTGAAATCTTCCTACGAATTGGACTCGTTTCACACACGGCAGAATATTCTATTGGCTTTCTTTCTTTTAATGTCTTAAAACTCTTTGTGAGGTACAAAAACGTTGGCCTTACCGCGTAAGAAAGCTAATTATAGCAAATCGAATATCCATGGCTGATCTGTTTTCTTCATCTTCACGCGGTGGTTTATAATCCTCTGATCTTGTTTCCGTATATATTAATAAAAACCAGACACCACCACCATAGCCTACGGTAAGTATGAAGCTTCTTTAATGGAGATCATCACAAGCTTCCCATTTCATTGGCTCTCTTCCTCAGCAGATACTTCTGTACTTTCCCTGTCGAGGTTTTAGGTAAGTCCACGAAAACTATAGTCTTTGGAGCCATGTAATGAGGCAAATGATCTCTACAGAACTCGATAATCTCCTCCGGTTTAACACCATCGAACCCTTCTTTCATCTTCACAAACCCACAAGGAGTCTGTCCCCAATGATCATCCGGTCTCGCCACAACCGCGGCTTCAAGAACCGCCTCGTGGCTGCACAAAACACGCTCGACCTCGACCGTGCTTATGTTCTCTCCTCCGGAGATAACCACATCTTTTAACCGATCTTTTATCTCAATGTACCCGTCCTGATGCCTCACAGCGAGATCACCACTATGGAACCAACCTCCTTCGAAAGCTTTTCTTGTTGCATCCAAGTCCTTGAAGTACCCACTCATCACTGTGTTTCCTCTGAACATAACCTCACCCATTGTTACACCATCATTAGGTACAGTCTCCATTGTAACCGGATCTTTCACTTCGAGCCCTTCTAGACCCAAATGCTGCACTCCTTGTCTAGACTTAAGCTTAGCTCTCTCCTCCAAAGAAAGAGTATCCCATTCAGGTTTCCACACACAATGTGTCCCTGGACCGTATGTCTCTGTCAAACCGTAGAGATGAGACACATTGAATCCTAATCTTTCCATCTTAGCCAAAATCTGCGGCGGAGGCGGCGACCCACCGGTCATAACCTCGACCTTATGAGGAAGCGGTTTGCGTTCTGACACGGGAGAGTTCACAATCATGTTCAGCACCGTTGGGGCTCCTCCCATGTGTGTCACTTTGTGCATTGCAATGTTCTTGAAGATTAGCTTAGGAGAGACTTTCCTTAGACAGATATTCGTACCGCCCTGTGCAGCTACTCCCCAAATGAGACACCATCCGTTGCAGTGAAACATTGGTACTGTCCATAGGTAAACAGGAGAGACATACATGTGGTGAAGAAACACTGTAGCGAGAGTGTTGAGGTAAGCTCCTCTGTGGCTATACACTACGCCTTTAGGTCTCGAGGTCGTCCCTGAAGTGTAGTTTATACTTATTGGATCCCATTCGTTTCTCGGTTTGATCACCTCGAACTCGATGTCTCCGGATTTAAGCAGAGTTTCGTAATCGTGATCAAAAGAGTAGCTTGAAGATGAGCTATCATCTTCTTCTTCGTCGTCATCACTAGACTGAGAGATCAAGACAAGTGTAGGAGTTTTCCTTCTTGTTCTGTCTGATTTAGCAAGAAGATCAAGAGCTTTATGAGCAAGCTCAAGTAAGCTGTGATCGACGAAGAGGATCTTGGCCTCGGAGTGTGAGAGCAAAACCGACATTGTTGAAGGATCGAGTCTAGTGTTGAGCGGACAGAGAATCAATCCAGCCATTGGAACAGCGAAATGAAGCTCTTGCATTGCTGGAACATTCGGCGCCAGAGCTGCAACCTAAAAGGTTCCTCATTTATCATTAAAACCTAACCTAATCGGAGCGAATCTAAATCAAGAAATCGAACAAATTTAGAAACTTACAACGTCGCCTGGAGATATTCCGAGATGGGTAAGAGCAGAGGCGAGACGGAGACAACGTTGATAAGTTTGGAACCAAGTGTGCTTGACGGAAGCAAACACAACAGAGGTTTGGTCTCTGTAAACCTTGGCGGATCTCTCCAAGAACGTAATTGGGGATAAAGGTGAGAAATTTGCAGGGGATCGGAGATGTCCCTCCATCGATCTCCATGATTCCGGCTCGGAATCGTCGGAAAATCCGCCGGAATACGATGTCGATGTGAAGGAGGAATGGGTCAAGCACGGTCTCTGAAAACGTGGGGTGAGGATTTTGATTGCCCTTTTGGTTAACAAGAATCTCATGTTGCGTTTGTTCGACTTTTCTCGAATTGGAAACTTTGATCTGTTAACACTGAACAAGACAGGTCTGATCTGATTGTCCGGTAAGTAACGTGATTTGTTAAACTTGATTGGTCCAAATTGATTGGATTAACTGTGTATTATCTTAAGTCACAACTCGATAAACGTTTGTTTATTGCCATACAGTCCAAGTAAGATCTTTGAGGACTAACACAAAATTCGACTAATCTCAAAGATAAAGCTGATTCAGCGAGAATGCATCTCAGCAGATTAAATTATAAACAAGTTGGCACCATTCGTGGGTCTACGGTCTACCTTGTACAATATTCATTATTATTCTCTTCCTCGAGGAATACGATTAAGATTCAACTATAATATTATTTTAAAAACTATTCGATCCCCTCTTGATTAAAATACAATTATGTGTTTAAGAGACCCTAATCACATTAGGAACTTGGACTCAATTACGGTCGCAACCAGATAAAGCCAAAGAAAATACTGTACTCCATAAAACAAGGATATAAAATATAAATGATATGATGATATAGTACAAGAAGAACCATTCAAAGCGGTGGACACTGGACACAACACAACACAAAGACTTCTTGGATCAAACGAAGAAAGGAAATAACAACGACCATCAGGGAGAATCACTTTCTTAGAAAGTGAATGAGAGGACCTGCTTAGAAAAGGGATAAAGGGTTTTATCACTTTCTCCTTCTCATCATCACCATATCTCCATCCTTTTGCTTCCTTGGTCTCTTCTGTCCAATCAAAAGAGTTGTGATTGATCTTCTCCTTCTTCTGTATCCGGGAATTGTATTATCTGGATATGAACGGCGACGAGCTTCCCTTTGAGAGGGGTTTCGAGGTTTACTCTAAGGGAGCGCACAAGTCGGAGTTTGACCCGATTTTGCTGGATTCTGGTTCCGATCCTATTTGGGATGCTATAAGACAAGAAGCTAAGCTTGAGGTTTCCTCTCACTTCTAACACTTTATGTGTAATCATCGATTCTCATTTCAAAAACAGAAAGAGTAATGGTTTTTATGATTATGAGTCCCCATTTTTCCTATTGATCCTACAGAACAAGACCTTTTGTTTTATTTTAGAAGTATCTCTAACCATTAGGGTTTATAAATAAGTGGGTCTTGTCTGTTTCGTTGAAAGTTTTGATTTTTTAATCCAACTAAACATAGGGACTCGAATGTTCAATCCCCTACAGTGATGGACTTCTTTCAATAATCTAGCAAACCAAATGTTTAGACTAAGTGAGTGTTAGATTTATAAAGTTGCTGCTTCTTATTGTGAATGGTGAATCTTACAATGGTGACTCTTCTTGTTGTGGCTACAGGCAGAGAAGGAGCCTATATTGAGTAGCTTCTTGTATGCAGGCATCTTGGCACATGAATGCTTAGAGCAAGCTTTAGGGTTCGTTCTTGCCAACCGTCTCCAAAACCCAACACTGTTGGCAACTCAACTCTTGGATATATTCAATGGTGTTATGATGCATGACAAAGGTATTCAGAGTTCGATTCGCCACGATATTCAGGTGAAACACTCATCTAGTACTACAATGTTGAAAGACATGGTCTTTGTTCGTTTTTGAGGCTGTTCTTCTTCTCATGGGCCTCAATGATTGATTGCAGGCATTCAAAGACCGGGATCCTGCTTGTCTGTCGTATAGTTCTGCCATTTTACATCTGAAGGTAGTTTCTTTAACTGAATCTTTAGAGACGAAACATCTCTTCACACGGAACTCTTTTGTCCTACAGGGCTATCATGCGTTGCAAGCATACAGGGTTGCGCATAAACTGTGGAACCAAGGGCGTCAACTATTAGCTCTTGCATTGCAAAGCCGGATAAGCGAGGTAGTTTTTGAACCATCGTTTTCTTTTGGTCACTGAATTTTAGAGCCTCGAGTTGCACTTTCTTAGCACAATCTCTGATCTTTGATGTGGGTTTCTCTCAGGTCTTTGGCATCGACATACATCCAGGTAAAGCTTCAGCCTTTATAGAAAAATGAAGGAACTTTCTCGATTTCCTCTCTGTAGTGCTTTAGTTGATTGCTGGTTATTCAAAATTGCTTTTTGTTTCTGTAGCTGCAAAAATTGGGGAGGGTATATTGTTGGATCATGGAACTGGAGTGGTCATAGGTGAGACTGCTGTGATAGGCAACCGTGTCTCGATCTTGCATGTAATGATCTCTTTCTCCAAACCATTTCCCTTGAAGTTTCAATGCCGAGATCATGATTTTTTTTCCAGTTTTAGTAAGACTATAGTTGAATTGTTATTGTCACAGGGTGTGACTTTAGGAGGAACCGGGAAGGAAACCGGCGATCGTCACCCGAAAATAGGCGAAGGTGCATTGCTTGGAGCCTGTGTGACTATACTCGGCAACATAACCATAGGTGCTGGAGCAATGGTAGCTGCAGGCTCACTTGTGTTAAAGGACGTTCCTTCTCATAGGTATCAATCAAAGAGCAAAAATCTCCATGACTTGGCTCTGTTTACAAACCTTTGAATCTCTATGTTCAGTAACAAACGACATTCTTCTTGGGGGTTTTGTAGTGTGGTGGCTGGAAATCCAGCGAAACTGATCAGGGTCATTGATGAGCAGGACCCGTCTCTGGCAATGAAACACGGTGAGTTTGCAAATTCTTGTTCTCTTCTTGCTCTGTGTTTCTGTCTCTCTGTCGGGTTTGCTCTGAATGAATGAATGTGCAGATGCTACTAAAGAGTTCTTTCGACATGTAGCTGATGGTTACAAAGCGACAATACCCAACGGTAACTTTACACACTCACAATGAACTTTGTGACATGAAATGTCTGAAATTACAGTGTTTGAACCTAGATTTAGCTCTTTTGTGCTTTTTAAAAAACAGGACCATCAGTTTCATCAGGAGATGCAGAGAAAGGAGGGCTCACTAACTCCACAACATGAGATTTGCTTATCATCATAAGCTAATCTCAGCATTTTCTCAATAAGTTGTTGTTTAAAGATTTTTGACCTCTGGAAGTTTTTCAGCTCATTACTGTCTCAAACAAACGAGACTTGACATAATAGTGTAAATGATTGTTTGCTTGAAAATGAAATCATCAGCACTCAAAAGCTAAAGATTTTGATACTGAAAAAATTCCACAGAACAATTGTAATTCAAGTAACGAAACAAAAACTCAACTCATAAGCATTCAAAAAGCTTATATAAATCACAAAGCAAAAAGAAAAGGAAGATGAAGAAGAATCAAATCAAGCATGCCTTGCCTGAAAATCTTTCATGAAAGCAACAAGCTTTTCGACGCCGGCCAAAGGCATTGCATTGTAAATGGAAGCTCTCATCCCTCCCACTGATCTATGTCCCTTGAGCTGCACCATCTTCTCCTTCGCAGCTTCCTTGATAAACTCTGCTTCAAGTTCCGATTTCTCCAGCGTGAAAGGCACATTCATCAAAGACCTCACGGACTTCTCAACAGGGCACCTGAAAAACCCTCTGCTCTCATCAATGGCGTTGTAAAGCAGCTCAGCTTTCCTCTGGTTCTTCTTCTCCACTTCCTTCAAACCTCCTTGCTCCAGCAGGTCATCGAACACGAGACCACACATGTAAATCCCGAAACACGGAGGCGTGTTGTACAGCGAGCTGTTCTCGTCGTGGATCTTGTAGTCAAGCATCACCGGAGTGATGTCACGGGCGTTTCCGATCAAATCTTTTCTGATTATCACAATGGTGACACCGGAAGGACCAACGTTCTTCTGCGCACCGGCGTAGATCACACCGAACTTCGACACGTCCACCGGCTTCGAGCAGAAATTGGAAGACATGTCAGCGATCAAAACACCATTAGGGTTTTTAGGAACTGGGTAATCTTTGAATTCGACTCCATGGATGGTCTCGTTGGCGCATATATGCAAATACTTGGCGTGCGGGTTCTGCTCCAACCCATCAAAGGACGGGACTTTTGTGTATTTCTCCGATTTGCCTGACCAGATCACTTTGGGATTGCAGTATTTCTGAGCTTCCTTGAACGCTTTGTCTCCCCAAGATCCGGTAACGACGTAATCGACGGGATCGTCCGGTTTGCAGAGATTAAGCGGCAGAGCGGCGAATTGGGTGGTGGCGCCGCCTTGTAGGAACAAAACGGAATATTCCGAAGGGATCTCGAGGAGCTGACGGAGATCCGACTCGGCTTTCTGGATAATCGAGAGAAACTCTTTCCCACGGTGGCTCATCTCCATGACGCTCATACCAGATCCACGCCAGTTATAAAGCTCCGACTGGGCTTTAAGGAGGACTTTCTCAGGTAAAGCGGCTGGACCCGCCGCGAAGTTGAAGACTCGCGGCTCGGATCCGACGGTGGTGGATCTGGCGCCGTCTTGAACATGCGTCGTCGCGGAGGAGCATCTGATCGAGATGGATTTGGTTCTGGCGGTGAGGTTGACGGTGCATGGTTTGGTGAGGTGGAGAAGGGACTGGGAAATGGAGTTGGGTTTGAAGGATGGGATCTGGGTTTGGTTCCCGACAAGGAAAGAGTTCGCTGACGCCGCCGCCATAATCGTTGATTCGCTGAGGAATCTCGAAACTTTTTTGTTTATTTCCAAAAGATGTGAAGCAAAAGTGTAATGAGAAAAGTAAAGTGACGGCTAAAAGGCTAAAGAAAACAAATAAATATCTGAAAATAGTGAAATGTGACTTTGTACTGTGAAGGGAGTTGGTGGGAGAACGACGCCGGTTTTGGTTTATGTAGTTAGCTTAAATTTGTATTCCTTCTTCTTTTAAAATAAAGAGAAAAGATAGAAAAAATTTTTGGCTGTCTTTATCTCATGGATACAGTAATGAACCTTTTAATACTTTTAATAGGGTTGTCTGCCGTCAGCCCCTAAACTATACACTATCTACTTAAAATCTTTTAAACTATCGACCTCTGCATAGTTCTATCCAAACAATTGTTTTTCTGCATATTCTCTCAAATTCAATTAGAAATTAAAATTGCGATCAATTTACAAAATCACGTTTTGGGTAGATTGCGTTTTAAAGAGAAATATGCAGAAAACAAATTTTTTGGGTGGGAATATACGAAAGTGTAGTCTAGGGGAGAATACGCAGAATTTATTAAGTTCAGGGGGCTGAGCGCAGTCAATTTAATTTTTAAATTTTTCAAAATATTTAACACATGATTAGCTTAATTATATCCACAATATATATCTGTGTAATAAAATAAATGTATATTTTTATTAAAAGTGGTAGCAATATGACAGCACAATTAAAAAACAAAACTAACATTAGTTATTATACATACATAAACATATTATTCTATTGTTTTAAATATTTTGATTTGAAATACTAATAGAGAAAAAATATTTTTTGGGATATACTCGATATCATAGGACTTATTTACTTGACATTAAAAATCTTAACTAATGCAAGTTTATCATTGTAATGGTTCGAGTATTTTCATTATAAATTCCTGAAATAAACGAATGTGTTGTTAAATAAGGCCATTAATAACTCATAACACAGATAGGTTAGAGACTTCAGACTTAGATGTATGTACCTCTTGTGCTTAAACTAACACATATAAGTAGTGAATGGTTAGACAGAGAGTTGAAACCTCTTCTACACCATTCATGGTTCGAGTATTTTTATTTAAATTGCTAATAGGAGGATTGCATGAAATATATTTTGAGATTTACTTAACATTACACAACTTATTTATTTGATATGATACGATTTAATTAATATAAGTTTATTATCCTATTATTCCACGTATATTTGAAGTGTTAATAAGAGAAACTATTTTTTAAATTTACTTTACTATACACAATTAGTTTACATTACACGTATTTTATTTGAAGAGCTAGTAGAAAGAAGTGTTATTATACAAATATATATTATGGATATAATTAAGTTAATAGTGTATTAAATATTTTGAAAAATCTAAAAATTAAATTGACTGCGCTCAGCTCTTTGAGCTTACTAAATTCTGCATATTCCCTCCTAGACTACACTTCCGTATATTCCCACCTAAACAATTTGTTTTCTGCATATTCCCCCCTCCCTCTAAAACGCAATCTAACCAAAACGCGATTTCGTAAATTGATCGCAATTTTAATTTCTAATTGAATTTGGGGGAATAGGCAGAAAAACAATTGTTTAGGTAGGAATATGCAGAGATCGGTAGTTTAGGATTTTAAGTAGACAATGTATAGTTTGGGGGGGCTAGCGGCAGGTATCTCTTTAATATATGATTTAATATGAATACAATGAGAGAATTATTTAGAAAAATTTGGCTGTCATTATCTCATGGATACAGTAATGAACCTTTTAATACATGAATATACAATGAGAGAATTATACTTGGGGATAAAGTAGAACTTGGTAAATAAGTAAAATCCAAGATTCAAATAATTTTAGAGTTTTTTTAAAGATGCTTTATTTAGAGACATATTAGTTTTTTTCAAATTTGTTTTCTATATCATACAACAAATGTAAACTGATTTTAATTTGATTTTCGTGCGGGTTAATAAAAAAAATCGGTTTAATTTTTGGTTGGTGAATTTTGGTTCGGTTCTATCCAACTAAACTTTATTTGATATGCATGAGCTTTTATTGATTTTGATTTCTAGTAGTTGTAGCAAAAAAAAATTATGTTGTATGCACTTCAGAATGCAGTTTATTTATTTATATATTCAAACAGTTCTTCTTCATTAATACTTAAACTTTGAAATTACATTGCTGCAAATACTAGAAATCAAATTTAATAAAAAGCTACAAAGAGAATAACAACAACATAATTATTCAAGAACAAATTCAAAGCAAGGCTCAGATACGACAAAGAATTTGGCTACTTCTCCTGCATTTCGACAAGAAAAATTCTTTCAACATAAACTAGAATCTATCAGCTATCAATGCGGTTTTGTGATATGGAAGCCATAATTACGTACTAATACTATGAGACCATCTTAAAGTATTTGCATTTCAATTAATGAACTTTTTAGCATTCATAATTTCAAAGTATAATACTCTCTCAATTTTTTAGGTGTTTGCACACAAATTAAGATATCATTTAATTCTTTATTTTTTTAAAAAATAAAACATGTGTTATCATCAATTCCAAAACAACTCAACCAATAGAAAAACAATACACGGAATTCAAACAGTTAAAATACTCTTTCCGTTTCATAATAAGTGTCATTTGGAGAAAATGTATTTGCATTATAATTGGATGTATCTGAATGTGTTTTGAGTTTAATATATTCAGATACATTGCAAATACATTTTCTCTAAATGGCACTTATTATGAAACAGAAAGAGTAATAAAAAAACTAATTATTTTTTATATAAATATACGAGAACATCAACTATTTTTGAAAAAAAAAATCTTTAAAAAATCTTATATAAAAAACAGAAGGAATATATGACTATGACCAAAACATTTATTCAAACCGTGATGAAGATTATCCCTATCAAAAATATATGATAGCTCTCTACTAAGTGAGTAAGCCAACGTGCTTTTACAGTTTTACCTTCACAAAGTTCTAAGCTAAAAATTTCGTTAATGAAACTATGTTCCTCCTTTAACATAAACACAAGACAAAATCATCTGGAATTATTTTTACTTTTCTGCATTATATGATATCAAAAAAATTTCATGTGGGTAAAAAAATCAAGTCTTTCCATAGAGAAATACGTTTTAATTCAGAATCATTAAAAAAAAACTTCACAACTCTTACGCATCTTTTATAGTTTTAGTTCTTAACCATATATTCACAACTACCTAAAAAAACCAATTTATTAATCAAAACAGTCATTTTTGGAACACAGTTGTAAAATTAAGATATAGTATAAGATATCCAATAAATTGTTTAGACACATGTAACAATACAAAACAGGGAAAATTTTAATGACTATAAATATAATATTTTTTAAAAATGTTATTTTAATTAATTTGTAACTATTTTTTATTAATTTATTACTATTACATCATAGTTAATTGTCATAATTTATAGAGAGATTCACAACTTACTTGGATTACCTATTGACTAACTTAGATGGACTATAATATTTTTAATCAATTTATTTAATTCTAATTTATTATATTAATTAATGTATAATGATGAGAATTTAATATTTTCTAACCTTAAATTTAATGTATTTGCATTGTGGTTATTATTATAATTATGTAGAATAATTGATAAATCCAATTTAATCCAATTCATTAAAAAATAAAAATAACAGACTCAAACTCAAATATATTTAGTTTAAAAATATCCAAAATAGTAAAATGGCGTTCATGAGTTTAACGTTACAGTCTGTTGTATCGAGATTACATGTCCATTTATTGAACAAAAAAGAGAGATCTACATGTCGAATTCTATAGAACGTACTTTCTTTTACACTCTAAATTTTCGCATGTTAGCTGAAGAATCTAAATTTTACTAGAAGCTGAAAAAATGCGTTGTCACATGATCAAGATTCAAGATTCAAGAGGAAGATTGCACAATAACGAACTGGTCACGTTTAGATAATTATATTTATAATATATAATAAAGATGCAAAATTTCAAGACTAAAATAACCAACAAAAATATAAATATTATTAAAAATATATATAATAGAAACATTAAAACATTATTAGCTTAAGAAAAACAGAAAACCGGTAAAAGGATTAAGATTTAAGAACCATGCTTCCCCAAACGATATGAGGATCTAAACACTTGTTCATGTGATTATTGCCTGAAGATTATCTGCTTCCACAAGTGTTGACATTATGATTCATGCTTGTACTGTTGTTGAAGCTCTCGTTCCACTTCATTGGATCTTCTTCATTGACGCGGTAATTGTCATGGCCAGAGCTCAATACAACAGATTTACCATTTGGTTGGTTCATTAAAGGATTACCAACCAACTCACTGGATCCAACATCATAATAATTTTTTCGGAATGATAGATCAGAGTAATCTAAAGCTTCCATTGGTGGAAAACTTCGGATTGGAAGCACATTGGTTACCATATCAGCATGAATCTCAGGCAAACCGAAATGGTTCCCAACAACAGCAGAAGAAGAACCATCAAAAGATCCAACAAACTCGTTGGTTTCTTGAACATGTAAAAATGGTTGGTGATGATTAACTTGTTGGACCTCAACAGAACCAGAAGGTTGATCCATCTTTGGACTCCTGGATCTACGGGAACTTCCACCAATCGGTATGTTCCTTAACGACCCACCATGAGTCCAATATCTACGACAACTCTTGCAGAAATAGCGCGGTTGAGACATGCTGTAGTTGTTGTAGTAACAGAACTTGATGTTTTCTGAGTCACACCTTGGGCAAATTCGAGGCGGTGCAAGTTTCTCTTCACTCACTTGATTGTCTCTCCTCACGAAAACATTCGAATTATCCATTTTTTCTTGAGAGCTACTAGGTTTTTTTCTGTTATTGTTGTTATTATGATTTTTGGTGTTGTGGGATGTATCTTCTTATATAGATTTTTGAGGTATGGAAATTGAAAAAATACATTTTTAAAGTTTTAGGAGATTAAGATTATGAGCACAAACGTGTCAAAGATTGTGTATTAGTAAAATCTGAAAATCTATGTATACACTATAAATATTAAGTTAAGTTTAGTCAACAATCAAAGTTCTGTTACTCTTGAATCTTAACTCTTGTCAATATGTGATAAATTGAGAATCAAGAAGATATGGTTCAATGAGTTAAGTCATATAAACGAAATCTAGAGATATTGAGTATAATTTATTTAAGTTTTTTTTTTGTCAACTACCTCAATCTCTTAAAACGGTTTAGATAATTAAACCAGTAGTGATGAGTTTACATAATTTAAAATGTAAAAATAGTCTCGAACAGCACGTGTTAATTTGTGTATCTTTATATTTTGAGTACGTAAAATATGTGAGATGGAAAAACACTCAAATTTATTTAAATTTAAATCATTGTCTAAATTATGTGAATATATAAATTAGCAAAAAAAAAATACTCTTGTTTTATAATATTTGATGTTTTAATATTGTGTGTTAATTGATGTTTTAGAATTGTGTGTTATACTTTCATAAATCTGATTTTTTCTTACATGTTCAAGAAACCAACTAGTTTTTAAATTACAAAGGTAACTGAAAAACTCCATATATTTGCAATCTTTTATCATACTAGATAAAGTTGGTTTACAAATTAAGAGCTCAAAATCAAAACTCTTAACTTTATCAATGGAACTTGAAAGGATCGGAATATTCTTTTCTGGGCCATTAGTCGAATCGGTCAGTGAATGTGAATCATTGTGGTCGAATAAAACATATCTGCAATATTTGTGTTTCATTGTTCAATAGAAAGAGTAACTGAAGTCAGAGAATGATTGCTGAGAGAAGTTACAATTTAGAGTGAATATGAAAATAAGGGATCAGAATCAAACTTTAGAAAAATTGGAACTTTTTTCTTTTGTGTTTCAAAAGGAAACGAGAAACTATATGAGTAAAGCTGTACAAACTAATAATTGTGCTTCTGCTTAAGGATGATGAGACTCAGTAGACACAAGAAAGTGTGCAGCTTCACACTTCGCTATGTACCCAAATTTGAATGTGCTGTACTTCCTATATACTCCTGTCAACTTCCCAGTCGCTGCCTTCTGATGAAGATTCACCATCTTCCTTGCACATTCTCTGCAAAACCCGCGATGAAAAAGGATCAATCTTGGAAGATGTTTCTTGATACCCTTTTGTGTTTATTGATAGAAGAGATGAAGAGAAAGACTTACATGAGCTGATCTTCAGAGTAATGACAGTGGAATTCACATGTACTGTTCCATCGCCTGAAACCATCAAGTGTAGATTGAGCAGTGTAAACAGCTGTGGCAGCTAGTAATGACGGTGGAAACCGAAGCATCTCATACTCCACAAGTGCAAGCTCGATCAAGAACGATGCCAAGATCTCACACTGTTTATGTTTCAGCTTCAAAGTTAGTTCCTTTCTAAATTAAAATGATTCATAAGTGTATAAGGGTTTTAAGTTTTAACTTTACCTTCTTCTCTGCTTGAGCTGCCTTGAGGAATCTTTTCAAGAAAGGGTATTGTGTAGGCAACGAGACATTGAATTGCAAAGTGCTCAACATCAGTTTCTCCTGCAGAGAGAATGCAAACCATTTCATTATTGTCTAAACATAAACGAGACAAGAGAACATCATTCTTCTATGTAATGAACCAGACTTTACCATCTCTAGAACATCATTCCTCGTATAAGCCTTGTCTGAAATGAGTACTAAATCCTCGACGACAGGAACCGAAACCTCCTCGTACTTGCAAGCTAAGAGCAAAGCCACTAACCCTACAAGCTGAAGCTTCTTTCTCAAAACAGCTTTCTTGGACAAGAATCTATCTATCAGATTCACTGTGAGAAACAGTGTCTCGTTCATCAGATCAAACTTGTCATGTACCTGCAATGTTACTCAAGTTTCTTTAGCCTCTATCAAATTACAGAGTACTGTTCTAGAGTGATAGTTGATACATACCTCGATTAGCCAATCGATTAGTATCGCTCTCATCTTCTCGTTTAAGTCGATTTGTTGCATCATATAATCTACTGGAACACAGCTAAAACTCTGCAGATTCAAAACCAATGATCGTTCTTAAACAAAGCTTCTTCTCTCAAGCCTCTTGTTCCTTCGGAAACAAATAAAAGCAAACTAAATCTTACCTCCATCTTTCGGTAGAAGTCGTAGAGATCTTGAACATATTCAACAGCTGCAAGTGAGTTCTTGGCATCTGAGACATCTATATCCAAGATTGGTTCTTCCACTACTACATCCTCCATCTCAACTTCCTCCTGTACAATCAAAAATGTGATTCAAAACACTGATCTATAGACTTGAATTCAGCATTATGCGATTCTTTATCAAGTGGATTTGACTGTGTTTACCATTGGATCAGCTTCTTTAATGCTTGTGTATGGCTTCTCCAGCGACATTGGCATAGGATGGTCCAATGTAACTTCTTCTTCAACCTCCGAATCATCAGCGAGTATACAGTCAACGGTATCGTTTGCACTTGGAACTGCTTGCTTCAGCTTCTTTGACTCCTCTGCACACGACGGCTCTTCAACTCGAGGTCTGCAAGATCTAAACAATCTCAGTATCTTCTCTTTCAAATCAAATCAAGAGAAATTTAAAGATTCAAGCTTTATATATATATATATATACCTTGTAACTGAGGGTCGCAGAGAATCAAGCTTCTTCTTTTGACATCCTTCTTCTTGCCTGATGATTCAAATCATCCAAAAACCCATAAGCACAATCAAATTGATAAAACAAAAAAACAATCAAAGACACTAACTTGTAAGAGAGATTTTACTTTGATAAGCTTCCTCTCTTGTTGACAACACAAGGATAGCCTCTTGCACCAACCAGATTCTGGTTAATCACACCCAAAACTCTTCTCTTCTCCCTCTTCACCTCTTGTCCGAATTTTCTGCTTCTCGTTTCATCTAAACACACAACACACATTTGACAGAATTCTCCATTGTTAAGACCTTGATATTCTCATACATCACGCGAGACAAAACTCAACAATACCTTGAAGAATCGTCGTCGTTGTAGTGGGCTTAACAACGATTTTGTTCTCGCAGGAATAAACCATTTTTGTTTGTTTTTTATTATTCCAAGAGAAAAGAAAAATCCCAAAAGACACTAGAAGAAGAAAAGCATTCAGCGTCTGATACAGTCAGATTCTGGAGAAGGGGGATGAAATAAGCAAGTGACAATGAATGAGAAAAAATAAAACAAAAATAGAAAAAGGTTTTATTTTTAATTTCCTAATTTTTGTTTTTTTTTTTAAAAGGAACGGCTAGGATCAGAATATGACCGTTGGATGATTCATGACGGAAACGATTTACTACCAAGTCTGTATAATAAGACTTAACGGTAACTTTGTGGTTCAAGGCATGTGGCTTCGTCTCTTCTTATTTCAAAACTTTATTAATTCTTTTTTTTTATTGGTGGATTCGACTTTTTTTCAAGACAGAATGGTGCGCTCCATAGGCGCGGCTCTAACAAACTTTTTGATTATAGTATTATTTTAAATTTAAGTCTTAATTTAATAATCAATAATCTTAAAGGTTATTAATATCCGTATTTACAGAGCTAATCATACTCTCTCAGTCTAATTTCAGAGAAACATTCATTAGGAGACAAGACCAGATTCCTTACCGAGAATTATGCTGGCCCGTGAGAACTGATTTGTTGTTGAATATTCTCCATTTATAATTTATTCAAAAAACATATTTATTCTAATTTTATTTTACTGCACCTATTGAAACCCTTAAGTTATTTTGACAAAAATATATTAAGTGTCAGTAGGGTGGGGACACTACAAAAAAAAATTAAACTTATTCTCTGAGAGAAGTTAAATAAAATAAATAAATCTGCCTATAATAAAAATAAATCTGTATATTAACCTTACTGAAACCCTTAAGTTTATAAGAAATTATATTTCTTTTTGACCAACATTTAAGGGTCAGTAGGGTGGGAACATTGCAAATAAAAATAAAAATAATAAAAAATTATTCTATGAGATAAGTTAAATAAAATAAATAAATCTGCATATAATTAAATTAAATCTGTGTATTAAACTTATTTTTTGATCGAAACTCTTTCAATTCGTAATGTGTAGTATTAAAGGAATGTTGAAGCAGAACTAAACAATGTTTAATGTTGATGAAATTCTAGAACTCGAGTCAAAGGCAAAAGACATTATGGAGAAAGTTGTGTAAAGAAAGTTACCAAGTCCTAGAATCGGAAAGATGTATAATGAACGAAAATTAGTCAACAATGTTTATTACAAGACCAAAGAAAATTAGTCCAAGTAATTTACAGCAACAAAGAATTAATTAATTTACCATAAGCATAGTAATTAGGAAATATAGTCAATGTTTACGAAAATCTAGGCATGAACGGTCAATGCCAAGGAATGAAGCCGTGAACATGGAGGAGCCTCCTAATCTTCTTGCTCAAATTATAATAAATTAAAATTATAATAAAGTGCTTAAAAACTAAAAAAGACATTGTTTCCGTAAACCAAAAGCATAAATTTAAAGATCAAAAAGGGACCAATATGTCATCCCAAACTAGCTAAATTGATCATTCAGATTTAGTCCAATGTTTAGATGTTTTGTTTTTTTTTTTTCTAGTGATTAAGTTTATGTATGTATATTGATTAAGTTTATGGTAATTTTAATTACCATTAGATTTACTAATGTACTAGCATTATTATCATCATTATTTTATTACTAAATTTTAATCTAGATAAACCGAACCGAACTATACAAACCGTTCTATCTGAAAACAAACGAAAGTAGCTTTTATAAGTCTACAAATATAATGCAAATGCTTTTTCTTGGAAAAGTTTTTTGGACCAAACCAACGTATTTGATTAAAACTCAAACATGAACTGTACCATATCGATCTATAGTGTGTTGATTTCGTAAAGTACTTAAAAAAAGGCATTCTATTTCCATTGGGCCGGATCCTTATCATAATGCTTCATTGCTTTGAATAAAATTTATTCTTGTGGGTTCATTGATCGATCTTTTGGCACTTTAGGCTTGTTACGTGATGCATGAGGCAGATCCTTATTAAAAATCGACTCTAAATAATGGCTATTATTATTATTGCAACCACGAAGCCTATTCTTATGTAATACATTCTAACTGTACAGTGCATAAACAAATATGGGATATGAAGGAGCTTGATAAAATATTTATTCGTGAGCATCATGTAAAACTTGAGAAGTAGCACGACGACTAGTATGCGAAAGACTTAAAAAAGAAAAACAGTATGAGACTTTAAATGTAGAAAGTATTTCTCCACTACTAATTCATATTAATAAAGACTCTTTTTTTTAGTCTACTCTAGTTTTAAATATATATATCAAGGCATCATATAACTCTTTGATCTCTCCATCAGCTTCTCCTCCTCTTTATTGCTACAATTCGTGTTCTCTTCCAATTTGCTGAAACATGGAAGAGCTCGAGTCCAGCAACGTCGGAGATATCAAGACCTATTCTCAAAAGGCCAGTACCATCCGCAAGAACGGTTACATCGTCATCAAGAGCCGTCCATGCAAAGTTTGATTTTCTTTCTCTTGCTTGTCTCCGTTATAGTTATGATGCGTTTTCTTACGAAATCCACATAGAAAGTGATTTAAAGTGATATAATCGACATTATCATTTGGTTTTGAGTTGGAAAGTTAATAAAACTTATTATCTTTGGTTTTAAACTAATTAAAACATTATTTGTTTGGTTTATAGGTGGTTGAGGTTTCAACTTCTGAGACTAATGAGCACGGTCATGCCAACTGTCACTTTGTTGCAATTGATATTTTTACTTCTGAGAAGCACGAAGATACTGTTCCCACTTCCCACATTTGTGATGTTCGTCATGTGCTATTCATCAAAGTGTATCATATAAAAAAAATATCTTTAAGTGACTCATAATAAATTGTTTTATTTCTGTAGGTTCCACGGGTGAATCAAACTCACTACCCGTTGCTTGATATCTCGGAAGATGGCTTTGTATGATCTCATTTTCACTTTACTTTTAATTAGTTTCATCTTTGTTTAATTTGCATGCTCTAGTCTCCGTTATAAAGAGATTATAGACTTAGAAGCTAGATCCAAAACATTTTATTTACAAAAATATATTTCTTGATTACATTTATACAGGTCAGCGTTCTTACAGAAAATGGTACCACTAAAGATGATCTCAAGCTCCCAACAGAAGAACCTCTGCTCACACAAGTTACTTTTCTTGTCTTTTCATGCATATGCAAATCAATTGTTTATGTGGAGGAATCTATATATTCTCTTTTGTTTATCAATCATTTTGTGATATTGGTTGGTTATCCCACTCTTGATTGTTTGGTCTGTGGACTGTGAGGTAAATGCAGCTCAAGGCTGGATTTGAGGAGGAAAAAGATATCGTCATCTTTGTGATGTCAGTCATGGGAGAGGAGAGAATATTTGCCCTGGAGGAAGTTGGTACAAAGGGTGCACTATCAGCATGAGAGAGTCTAAAATGAGAACTCCAACATATATTTTGTAGGTTTTAAGTGAAAACACCTTTATGCAGAACCTGTACAATGAAGTAACTTTGTCTAATCATTTCTGTATTGGTTGGTAATGTAAACAATCACCATATTAATTTATAAGTTTTTGTTTGGAAATATTTTTTGAATTAAATGAAAAGTTTGATGGTTGTTCTTCAAGTTTTTTTTTTTTTACATTTTAATGAAAAGTTGGATCCCAAATTCATGGAACCATGTAGAAGCACAGCTCATTATTTCAATTTCACATGACAATGGCCGTGAGGTGTGGAAAAACTCTGCCTTAATATTGTCGATAGTATTTCTCAATTATACTAGATGCACATTTCGAAACAGTTGACATTTTTATTCCACTTTAAAAGAATAAAAAATAGATTAACAGTCTGTAACTCATTGGTCAATGATAAAATCATATCACAAGTTGGCATATAAAATTTTCATTCTCAATAATATAACTGTCGTTTAAAGTCACATATGATGAATATGACAATAAAAGAAGAGAAATTGGCAAAAATAACATAGAAACAAATTATAATTCATGCAATATCCATATTGAAGTATTGGTTAGAGTATTCGTCATATTTTATATAATAAATACAAAACTATTCATATGTATGCATTTCAAAATAATAATGAATTTCGTGATGGGACGGTGGTTTATTAATAACTATAAAATTGAAAAAAGTTTATTAGTGGATTGCGATTTTGATTTTGTAGTCCGTCTTAGATTTGTAAACCCTCCCAACAAACAACGCATCCCCTTCGTATGTAACATCTGTCAAAACTGTATCAACACCTGCATCAACATCTGATTCATGAGTATTACAATTGTTTAAAACAGGCATCAACCAACCACTCAATTATACTCTGATTACTTTTACAGAGGATACTATTATATTATAGTATAGTAAACTCAATTATAGTATAGTATACCGATCAATTTAGAAGACAAGTATAAAATGGGACCGTCCGCTAACCGTCTTCGGCGTCGTTTTTGAACACCGGCAGAGCATCCTGACAATATAAGGCATTTATAAATATAGAATTGACAATTATAAGTAACCATTTCAACTTATTCAGTTCCGGCCAACGAAGTGGAGGGTAGAATTGACAATTATAAATATATGTTGTTATTGAGTGAAATATCACATATCGATGGCTATATTCTCTATTTCGAAGCCCAATATGAATATTCGACAAATTGACCCATAAAAGAATTGCTCCCAACAAAAAAACAATCAATGAAGTAAAGAATATTATTCTAAACTAAAACACATACAAAAATATATATCTAGTTTGCATGCCATAATACTCACGACAAAAATTTCTCACTATCGGTGACCAAATCTAAACAAGATGAAACAAAATTGGTTTAAGTTACTACATGGTACCGTACATGTAAAAACTGTGAGGAGACCTTCTATATGGTCCAGAAGGTCTCCATCTTGGCTTCAAACCCCTAAATAATCGTACGGGAACAGTCTCACCTGAAAAGACTTGAGAGTTTTCTTGGTCTCTTTGTCTTCTCTGTTGATAACGAGTTGCTCTCCTCTTTGCTCGATGCTTGCTGACTTGGTTTCACAAGAACTTTTAGAAGATCGCTCATAGATTTGTCGGAAACGAAGCCCGGCTTTGCATCTTGAATCTCCTTCACATCCATGTCGTTGCGTTTCACTTTCTGTGTCTCCTTCAAACGGTTCTTCGAAATTTTTTTCTTAGGCAGATCAGAGACTGGTGGTTTGGTGCCACGCTTGTTATCCTTTTGGACTACAGTCTCATGTTCTTTCTCTGCTGGACTAGTGAGACTTTCCACAGTCTCTTGCTCGGCTGATTTTGACCTCTTTGAAGTCTTTTGCTTTGGAGCCTCTGGGGCAAGTGCCTCTTTGCGCTTTCGCTTAGGTTTTTGGACTACAGACTGATCTTGACTCTTTGCTTGACCAGAGAAGGTTGAGTCTTCTTCACACACCTCAGTCTCTTGATCTTTCTTGTCCTCACTGTTTTCTCTCATCCTCTTCAGAATCTTTCGGCGAGCCTTAGAAATAGATAATGCCTTTAAGCCATGGACTGGAGCTTGACCGTTGTTATCCTCCTCTGATGGTTCAGAAATGACCAACTCAGCCTTCTTCTCGACACAAGCCGCAGGAACAGCTTGATCTACGGCGCTCTGTTTCTTCTCGGCTGAATTTGGCTGTTTGATGATTGTGTCCAGAATGATTTTGCCAAGAACAAATCCTATCTCGCATGGAACTCCCTTCGCAAGTGAGATATAGTCAATAGAGAATCCCTCTTTTTTGCTTTCATATGTTTCCACATCACCTAGTCTCCCATACCAATCTGCTACATCTTTCCCCTTTTTCTTCGGTACAAACACCTGAGAAACAGGCAAGGTTACTTTGAGTACAAGAACAAACATAGATCAACAAACTTAAACCGAGTACATTATGTCTTAACTTATGTAAACTGGACTTTTGTACTTACCAGACCAGAGAATTTGAAATCAGGGTAGAGGTATAGGGCTTCGTGGAGAGCCTCCATGTCAGTCAGAACATATCGAGTATCTCTTAATAGAGACGTAAATTCTGAAACTGCTTCTGCAAGATCTTCATCGGATATCTTTCTCGAAGATTTAGATACCTCAGGGGAGTATCCGGGTACTGAGTCTTCATGTTCTCTAGCAAACTTCACAGCTCTGCTCCAGTTTCTATGGTAGAGCAAGGAGGCGAAAGCGCGCAGTACAATAGCCTCCTGAGGGCTACGCACTAGTGCAATGTGAAAAGCCAACAATGCAATCCTGTTCAGAAAAAAAATCAGGAGATTCAGGACATTAATAAGAGCTTATTGAAGAGAGGATTCATATTCCTATTGAAATAAAGAAACAACGCACCATAGTCTAGAGTCAGCAGGTTGCTCGCAGGAAACCAATTTATCCATATTGGAGAATAACCTCTGAACAGAAACAATAAACCCAACTCAGAGAATATCAAAAACGGATCATTAGATTAACGCTCCTCGCTTAAACAAATCACGTACCACTAGCATTAAGGAACTTGGTAGAGATACTTTACTAGCTTGATCCAGGTAAGCTGCCTGAAATACAAATTCATCTAACTAAAAAGGCAACAAAACAAAACAAAAAGAGTTACAAGATTGACGAGTGAGAAGATGACAAACCTGAAAAGGAAGCAAAACATGAAGTAGTTTGTACTTCATGAGAAGAAGGATGGAAGGTGCAGCAGCTCCATACGCAAGCATATAATTCATCTCCAAGATTATTCTAAACTGAACAAAGGAAAAAAAACAAAGGCGGTGTGAGGTAATACTAATTACTAAGTATATCCAAAACTCAAGCAGTCAAACGAGTACCGGTCCCAAATTCGCAACGGAGGATATAAATTCAGGTATCGCAGTCTCAATATCCTCTGAAATCGATAGACCTAATCGAGCTGCAATTCTTAACCCCCTGAGAATTCTAGCTGTAAATAGACAGATTTGGTTAGACACAACACAACAACAAAGTACCTTGTTCAGATACAAGTCCGTGAGGAGAATAGATAATGCGTACCGGAATCTTCACTGAAAGACAAATGTGCAGGGCGAAGTGAACGTAGCTGCATTTCGCGTTAGTAATACAAACAGTTAATACCATTAAACGACTACACAGATAAATCCAAAAACGAGTAAGCAAAGTTAGCCCCCACCTTTAGATCCTTCAAGTCTTCCATTCCATTGTTGTAGTCATAAACTTTGAACTCAAAAGGATCATAAAACAAACTGCAGATAGATTCAATACCAACACAGGGTAAGTAAGTTCTGTTTCGATGACGCAGCCAAACACAAAAGGCATATGCTTCAGAAACTAGACCTGTTAACTGTGAAATCTCGTTGCAAGCTATTCCTCCAGCGACTGCAGTCTTTTACATCCCAACCAGAATACATTTTGAAGAGGCTGCTGCTACTCTTGTTTGCCTCCGTAACACCAGATTTCCCCAAATCATTCTCAGGTTCGCTGTCACTTTGCGCCACTGTATCAAAACTTGACACCTATAAAGAGGAGTGTCAGGGAACACACAAAAAAGAAACATGCCAAAACCAAATTGGGAAACCCAAAACAGAACCTATGTAAAAGGTAAGAAAACTGACCTCAATTATCGAACCTCCCATCCACACATGACAAATAGGAAACCGTTTCCCAATAACCTGAGCTCGATGAAACAGCTTCCGGATCTATATAATATAAAAAATCCAACCAAGATGAGTTAAGCAATAATCAAAACATTATGTCCTGAACAAGGTAACATAACATTATCATAAGATTAAGCCATTAAATAATAAATACCTGCTTAAGATTAGCTGTAGTGATCACATCATAGTCCTTTGGCGCCCTATGGAGTAACAAATCCCTCACACATCCACCCACAAGGTATGCATCGAAACCTAAGACAAGAGAACAAATACTTTCAGCTTTCTTAATTTCCTTCATACATCAATAATCCTAACAGTAAACCCCAAAACAATACAAAACACAAACCTTGACGTCTGAGAAGTCTCAAGACATTCATAGGAGAATCCGGAACCATTGAATTTCTAATTCCAGCATCACTAGCTCGTACTTTCTTCCACTTCGATGTATCAACTGCTAAAAAATCAAATTCATAAAGGAACAACCTTTTTAACTTATAGAACATGTTAACGTCCGAACCAGCTTGTACCTGAATTATTCATGTCTTCATCAATAACTGAACGAATGGTAGAACACTTCTCCATGGCTCCCTCAGCAAGCGTGCAATTACTCCTTTGAAACTAGAGACCATGAAGAAACCACGCAGATGAAGTGTTCGACCAATTGCCGCAGAGAGATTTAACGAAACCATAACGAGAGAAAGAGACTGTAGAGGAACAAATTTACCCACCTTGGAGTAAATGACGGCTAGGGTTTGAGAAACGTTTCCTCTGCGCTTAATGAAACCCGCCATTGCAAAGACTCGAAATCATTGCTCTTTAAGCAACAAGTAGAACCATCTTCTCGTTCAGTGGCAGAGTCGCGAATTTTTTAGGTTTCAATTGCAAACGACCGACTGTACTTTCTAACCTACCGAACCAGAGTTCAAGTCCGGTTCGGTTTAGCAACAACCCCGATTATTTGGGATTTTATATCGCTAAGACCGGAAATTTTGTATTTTTCAATTAACGCTAAACCATTAACTATGCTTTCAATTTGGTCGCTTCGCTTTCCTCTACATAAGCCACTGTAACAAGAAGATAAATAATGCAACAGCCAACAGTCTTTACCACAACATTGTTTTTGGTTAAGCTCCTTTGATTAAAAATGATTTGGTTATGTTGCTGCTTGGTATAATGTTCAAGCTCTTGATCACCATGGGGAAGAAAACTCATGTAACGCTACTGCATTCTAAAAGCCATTGAATTTCAGAATCTGTAAACACAAATATTACAGACTAGTCTTGATCTTACAGGGCCAGGACAAGAAGTGAAATGTCTTTAGTATCCAAAGGTAAAATCTCAAAACTAGCATAAATACATTGCCTGTTCTATGTAATCCCAAGTTTCAGTATACCATAAAATCATCACATCACAAAAGAAAAGAAAAGATGAAGACAATCACAATTGTTTCTTCTTCTTCTCCAAGTATGAATGGTTTCTCTGGAAGTTCAATACAGCCCAGACCAAATGCCTCAGCCCAATCTCAGGCCACAGAGCATCCGGAGACAAGAGCTGAGAGTTACCTGTTTGCCACAGAAGAAAGTTGCTCAGCCTCGTCTCCCCTGAGCTCCGGATCAGTACATCAGGATCCGGCGCCACGCTCATCTGCATATTCTCCTCAATATCCACCAACCGTATCCTCTCTTTCGAGTGTTCAACATCAGCTAACTTGCTCACACAAGATCTCTTAACAGCTTGTAAGATCTCATCCGTCGAGTTATAAGCAACGCAGACAAGAAGCACCACGCGGCTATTCTTAGCCGTTGCCTTCATGACTTCCTCAGCAGCAGCTCTCACTTGGTCGCTGAGAAGCGCCAAGTTCCCGATGAAATACACTCGTACACCGTATTGATGCACGATGCTCTCCTTCTCGAGCAAAGACTTGATTTTTTCAAGCATCAGATCCATCAGAGACTGTACCTCTTCAGGGCGTCTCCTGAAGTTATCTATGCTAAACGCGTATATGGTCACGTACTTGATCCCAAGCTCGTAGCAGTACTGTAGCATCGACATGAGGGAGGAGAAGCCGGCTTTGTGACCAGACCCGTCTTGTAGACCGAGCTTCTTTGCGTACCTCCGGTTACCATCCATGATGAAGGCGAGGTGAGTGGGCAGAGGACCCGTTGATATGACCCGGAACAAACATCTTCTTGAAAACCCGAATACCCGCTCCAGCACTTGGATTATTTGACCCGGAAGCTCAACCATTTCGGATTCCGCCTTTTCGAATAATCAATCCTCTGCTACCTAAAGGATGCGAAACATTCATCAATGAAAGAACAAACACATAATCGTTTCATTCGAAGAATCCAAACAACTATTCAACTTCTAAATTCCCGAATCTCTCAAAACTTATGATAGAATCCTGGGTTTTCGTGGAAATTCGCCCAGAAAATATCTCGAAAATCAATCCGATTCCTCCGGGAGAAGTATCTCGAAAGACACAGCTACGGAGACATATACAACACACAGATCTAAATTGAGGGTTACGGACTTACCGGCGACGGAGAGTAGTAAGACACGAATCAACGTCGTCTACGAAGAAGAAAGACCCAAAGGCTGGTTTGGTTATTTATTCTTCAGCGGTGGGCTATCTGTGCCTGTCCATCATCCATCGGTCAATTTTTGGTTCGCTTTATAAAATTTGATTTATAAAGAGTAAAAACCGAAATAATATTTTTATCACATAAAAACTTGCAGATATTTATCATTTGATTTTTATGTTATTTATTCATTAAATTTAATGTATTTTAAAAATTACTGATTTATTAGTTTTGTGATATTTTAAAAATTATAAAAAATTATATATATTTTTTTTAAAATTACGACTAGACAGATAAAACTATCGTTTAAAAATTTAAAAATTTAAGGACCCAAAAAATCTCAGGCCCTAGCTTTACGTACACGTGTTATTTGGACGGTCAAGATTCGAAGAGCACAATCCATGATTCCGTCCGTTGTTCTTTGCCACCTACGTGTCAATGATTTCGATAACTTTCTATAAAATCCCGCCACAGTGCGAATTTCAATCTGCTTTTATTTTAAAATCTAAAATTATTAATTATTTTAAAAAGCGCATCAAAACGCAAACACTTGGAAAGAAAAAAAAACCCTCACAGAACAAAATTGGCTCTCGTCAAACAAACAAACAAAAAAAACCCTAAGGTAAAACAACTCGCTCCTACCGTTTCGCCAAACTCAGTCCGAGTCATCCGATTCTCTAACGATTCTTCGTCTTTTTTGTACTCTGCCGTAGAACTCGGAGATGAAAGGTGGTCAATCAAAAGCTGAAGCGACGAGCACTGATCAGAGGTTTGTTCTCCCAACTCTTCGTTTTCTCTGCATCTGAGATCCAGATTTTTTATTTTGGGTTGAATCTTCAATTGAACTTCTCTCCATCTGAATTATCTCCGATTTTCTGAAGATTGAAAATCAGAGGAAGAAAGCCTGGGAAGAAAACGACGAAGGATCCAAACAAGCCTAAGAGACCTCCAAGTGCTTTCTTCGTCTTCCTGTAAATTTTCAAAAATCTCTCCTCGATTCGCAATTCCTTTAATTTTATGTTTTCTTCAAATTTTTCACTGATTTGAATTATCGATCCAAGGGATGATTTCCGACGGGAGTTTAACTTGGCGAACCCTAATAACAAGTCCGTCGCTACTGTAAGTAATCCGAATTTCTAGAAATTTGGTGTTTACACATCTCAGATCTGTAATCTGAATCCTAATTTGGGGGAACTAATTAATCAGGTTGGTAAGGCTGCTGGAGCTAAATGGAAGTCTATGAGTGAGGAAGTGAGTATCGGCCATTGAAATGCTTAATTGATTGCTTCATCTTTTGTGAATCTATGCTTAATTTGGTTTCCTGAATCTATAATACAGGAAAAAGCGCCTTACGCCTCCAAGGCAGAGAGCAGAAAGACTGAATATGTCAAGAGTATGCAACAGTACAACATGAAATTGGTATGAAATTCTCATTGATTGATTAGCTTTCACGTTCTAGATAGAGAGAGAGAGGGAGAGTGTGTGTGTGTGTGTGTGTGTGTGTGTGTGTTCTTAGGTTCTTACTGTATTCTTTCTATGGATATTGTTTAGGCTAGTGGAACCAATAGAGGAGAAGATGAAGAGTCCAAGTCTGAAGTGGACGAAGCAGGAGGAAGCGAAGAGGTTTTTTTGATTAAGATTTAATAACTCTGTTGTTTTGATTGATGTTGATATGGCTTTTCAACATGTATGTGATATTGGACTCTCTTCGATTTTTGCAGGAGGAAGAAGATGAATGATTAAAGATTCTAGCTGTTGCCATTGACTGACTCAGATTTGAGGATGGAATTAGCAATTTGTGTAAAACTTGTTTTGATATTATTATGACCAAAAACTGAAAAACTGGTTATGCTTTTGGTGTTTGTTGTGATGATATTGAGGACCTCATTTGCTAATTCTATTGTGTTTTTAGGTCAGTTGTAGTGATAATATCACCTTTGAATGCTATATTTTCCTCATTTCTTCTTATGGTATTTGATTTTGCTGACTTTTGTTTGTACCTTTTTGTTTTTTTGTCTCTGAATTTGTCTACTTATGTTCTCTCGTTGTTGTTTGGCTCTTGTGTGGCTTTTTCGAAGGGAATGTTTTTGTGACAGAATCTTGTTGTTGGGGATGGGTCTTGTTTGTTTGCTGTTGTGATTTTGTCGTTATGTTGGAATGGTTGTTGTTCCTTCTCTGCTTGTTAGGGTTAGTTTCACAACTGTGAAGAAATTTAGTACTTTACTTTTCAGAAATAGGTATTTGGAGATTTTTTTTTTCATTTAGATCTCTCTTTAAAACTAATACCATTACATTATTATGGTTTTGAGCCTGCTTATTGAACTTTGGTCTATGGTTTGCTTCTGGTTCAGTTATTTTGGTTTTATAAAAGATGGAACAGGACACAACCAATTGGATCAAATTTATACTATTCGACTTCGGCCCGATAATTGTGGTTGAACATGTTTTGGATCATTGTCATTAATATATGGGCTATATTATATAATAGACCAATACTATGGTTATCACTTATTAGGCTTACTCATGTATTTTGGGGTGCCTTACTGTATAGGCCTAATTAGATATTCGATTTGGGACCAATCTAAAAAGGAACAAAATGATTTAAAAAGTTAAGATACTATTCCATTTTTGTGATAATGATTAAAGAAGCCGCGAGGAGAGGAAGAATTCGATTGCATGCGAGTCTGATGCGACTTTTAGAAACCGATGTGATCAAAGACAAAAATGATTAAGGTTGGTCCCATACACATATGTGGATGTGTAAGTCTAAGTTTAGTGCTTTTTTATGTTGTAAAAATTTATTATGTAATAGAGTTTTATGTTCGTCTAGTCTAAATCAGTGTTTTTGGATCATTCATATTACTTAGATTATGCAAAATTTGGGGATTTTTAATCTCTAAATTTCCTTAGCCAAGAATTAAATCGATTTGTCGTCTATGGGTGAAAAAAATGAGTATTAAATAATCAATGTGCCTATATATAGAGCCTAGAGGATCTAAACAAGCAATCGTACTAATTTTTACTATATTAATTCAACATATGAGTTTCACAAGAGTAGCTAGGCACGTACAGCAAATGAGAATCAATTTGAGTTTTTAGTTGTGCAAAATAGTTATGGGAGTCGTTGCATAGTCTTAATGGCTCTAGGGTTTAATGTAGTAGATTTTCAATTCGATCGTTCGTATATGTACAGATGTAATTATAATAAATAAATGAAAAATGAAAAAAGATGTGAGGAAATAAAAGAAGTAATAATGGAGGAGAGACGAGGAAGGATACGAAGCACATGACGATCCATCATTAATACATATAACAAATAAATATAAATATAACAAAGCGTGTTTTGAGTCATAACTTTACAACTAAAAACCCCACAATGCCATCACCATCACCATGAGTTGTATGTATTGTATTCTTATCGAATCCCACCTTTTTATTTCTTTGTAATACGTGAATTAATAATATAGTATTAGCTTTCATGAGCCTACAATAATGTTGTGTTAGGTTGTTTCTGTTGTGAATTAGATTTTCTTTTATGGAATTTATGCTCCTGCTATCAATTTTGAGTTTTCTTTAAAAAAAAAACAAATTATAAATGAGTTCTGATTACAGCCTAATGATAGGGACTTCTCCAATTGTTATGTGTGTTTTAAGTTGTTGAGAATAAAAATTCCAAACAATTATATTATGGGAGAACAAAATGTGAAATTTGTCATCATAAACAAATCTAGAGTTTATTTATTAGTATAAAAATGTAGGTATGTATCAAAATTCTTTTAGTCGTGTAACGTTTTCTCTTGTTGTGGGGTTATTGACCGGGTACGTAGAGGGATTCTTTATTAATCATAAGAGCCACTAGATTATTACAATGATTTTTTTGAGCAAATAGGGGCGAATCTGCTTTGACGAACGATCCATGCATATATATAATAGAAAAAAATACATATATAACATAAGCTAGTAATGGGGGATTAGTGTTTTGCATGTATGCAACAACGTCTATATAGATTACTTAGTTTTGTTAAAATATTTTCTTTACATATGAACTATGTATGTATTTTCCTTAGTCAGTGATATGTTTGGAGTGAAAAGGTTGAGTAAAGCAATTTAAAGTGTTCTAAAAAAATGCTAGTCACTAGTCGTTAATTAGCCATTCGACCATTAGATTTATAATATTTCTTATAAATACATTTAGTTGTTTCATTAATATAATCTATCTTTAAGAAGATTTACGAAAACTATGTGTTTCGGTCCCTTATTCTTGTGTTACAAACTAAACACGTTAGATCTTCTCTGTGTGTTCATATTGAAGGAAAAAAAACAAGTCACGATTACTTATGTGTGCAACTAAGAACCAACATGTCCGTTTCTCAATAAATTTAACGTCTATTTATTAACTTGAATCGGACATTACATTGTGAAACATTTTACATACAAAAACAAGTACATACATCTAATACATCAATGTCATTTTAAGAAGATAACTGAGAACCATCAAACTTGGAAGGATTCTCCAACGTTGATTCCGAATTTACTGTTCTTGATTCAGAATTTTTTTAGTTTAATATTCCACTATCAATTTTTTATTTGTAAAAAATCCATTTTAAATGATCAATCAATTTAATTATGATTTTTTTAGAAATGGGCATAATTCTCGTCCCATGTCCCGTCCCAGTCCCAAATTTCCATACCATATGAAAATATACTCTCATATGATACAACTTATTGATTTCCATTTGAGAATGGAACGGGACGGGACCGAGAATTCCCAAATCGAGAATTTCCGAAGTCCCATTTGTCCTGAATTATATAAAAACTAAATACTTTTATATAAATATATATTTAGATATTTTTAAAAGTATATTACCAAAAGTGGTAATTATTATTTATTAATATATTTTATATAAGCGAAAGTTATGTTGGTTTTTATTTTTTTATTTTATTCTATATGACTATTAGACTATATGTGGTTTTGTGTTCACTATTCAATGGATTAGGTTAAAGAATTGAAACTTTTAAATTTTAATAATTAAGTTAAGTTTGATTTAATTTATTTTTGGTTAACTTTTATTTTTATATGACATGTTATTATTACTTATTAGGATTTATGAGGTGAATAATAAACAAATATAATTTGAGTTTTAGTTTTTTTTTTTTTACAATTGTCAATTTGTCATGTTTTTAATATTTTTTTGGGAATTTCCGTCTCATTCCTGTCCTGTCCCATTCTCATCATGTCCCAAATTTTGAATGAAACATATATAAAACAATTATTTTAATTTTCATATTTCCGTCCCGTTCCCATTCCTGCAAAGTTCCGTCCCAAATTCCCATTTGCCCACTCCTAGGCTTTTTTTATAGAAAAACAACTCAATAAATCATTTAAAAGACGATTTCTTCTGCAAATAAGATTCATATTGTTCGCTATTCAGCCTATTCTCAATTTATCATGAATTCATCTTGTTTGGATATCATTTTTGTGATAAAATATTAATAAACTTGATGTTTAATTTTATCAAAAGAAATACACTAAACTGAGAGTTATTGTTGATAGAAATAAAATATAAAAGAAATTCAAAAATAGGGATATTATCTTATTTTATTTTGCTAAAAATGGTAGTATTATTTTATGATGTAAGAGAAATGACGGTCTTGTTTCATGAAAAGAAAAAAGGAAAAGAAATGACGGTCCAACTACAATGTCCATGAGCTGTTCGATATATGGTTACTTATGTTGTTGACGCTTTCATTACAAATAGGAAAATACAAGTATTATTAGTTTCTGTAATCTATATTGCATTAGTTAATCAAATTATTTATTGAAAGTTAGTACAGAAGAGACTGATTTCACAATCCAACCACCCTTCTGTACACGTTCCAACTTACAAAAGAGAATGATAAATTCTCATTCATTTTGTTTGTTTTTGTTCAATAGTAAAAAAATACTATTAGTGAAGGAATCTTTTAACTTCTCTAATGAATTTTAGATTATAAGGAATCTTTTAACTTCTCTAACGAATTTTAGATTATCTTCGTAAACAACCATCAATGTACAACTATATTCATGATGTATATATATAAACGGAAAACTAATTTCTAGTACCATTAATTTTTGATGATTATACTCTTCTTTGTCATTCACAATAATGAGAAATGATAAGTTGTTTTAAGAAAAAGAAAATAATGAGAATTAATAATAATAACGGTAAACAGGAAACTCAATCAATAATCAATTATTATCAATATGTGACATAATAATAAGAATTATTATTAATTATTACTTAATTTGGAGCGGCTTACAGGAACCACGTACGTACCGGAGAAGCAATACTCTGTTATCTTTCGAATCTCCACGTTTCTCTCTCTTCTGCAAAATTCCGTTTTTCATTTTCTCTCTCTCTCTCTCTCTCTCTCTCTCTCTCTCTCTCTCTCTTCAAAAGTGAGAAAGCGACCGGAGTTCCGTACTTTGGATTAGATGTGTTTCGTCTCGCTGTTTCGTCAGTTTCTTACTACACACCATTAGTCTTCTCTCTCTCTCTCTGTCTGAATACGACTTTCCTCTGTTCCCCCAATTCTTCTTCTTCTTCTTCTTCTCTCTCTCTCTCTCATCCTCTCACAATCTCCATTTTCGAGGCTTGCTTCATTGATTCACGAGAGACAATAATTCATTGATATTTTTATTACCTCTCTCGATCGGTTCGTTGCGTAAAAGCTCATCTCCTGTTTCTATTCTGCTCTGTTCCTGGTTTCAGAATCTGTCTCTTTATCTACAATTGGCTCTGTTCTGTTTTGTCTGTCTAATATAAGGTTTTATCCTTTTTTTTTTCTCTTAAACGACAATTCATAGTTATAGTTTCCGAACTTCACTCTCTCTCTTGTCGGAATCTGGGTTTCTTCTCTCTCTGATGATTCATCAGATCGGAAGTTTTATCGCCGTTTGAAGTACTTTCTCTCTCTTAAATTTCCTTCACCGGAGAGCCAATCGCCGGGAAAAAAAATGGGAGGGTTATTGCATCTCTTCGATTTCCATAACAACAGTTTCTCCCGGAAAGTTTTCTCCCATCACAAAAGCCGCGACGAAGGTGAAGCTCATTGATATTTACAGAAAAAAAAAAAATCAAATCTTGTTTCTGGGTTTCACAGTTAAATTCATGGGTTAATCTTTTTATTTCTGCAGATCTGGAAGCTCCTAGGAATAGTTTCGAGCTTCAAGTCGACAATTTTCAGACATACCACAAAGAGAAAGATAAACCGGTAATTTAATAACGAACTAATTAACTTTTATATATATATATATATATATATATATATATATACTTTCTCTGAAACTGAGTGTTTCGAATTTTTCAACAACAGCAGAGTTATGGATTTGAAGAAGAGGAATGGTATGAGAGAAGCTGTTATCCAATAGAGGAATCAATGAAGAAGAAGATCATCGAGGAGCTCTCAAAACGTTCCAGCGACAAACAGAATAATTCGCCGAGTCTTGTAGCTAAGCTGATGGGAATGGACGCACTTCCTTTGGAGTCAACTAAATCAACGGCTTGGATCAATCCTAAAGTGAATCAGTCTCACGAGAAAAGAGGAGGAAAAAGAAACAAAAAGGGAAGGTTATCAATGGAGGCAGAGGAGACTAATCCACCAATGCGTAGAGAACATCCTCAAGAAGAAGAGCTTCAAAGATTCAGGAGAGAGTTCGAAGCTTGGCAAGCTGATAAAAGGTTTAAAGATTGTTCAAGAATCGTTGAATCGAGCTGTGTGGCTCGTGAAGAACAAGACAAGGAGAGGCTTTTCACAAGAACAAGGAGCTTTGGCCGAGATTTCAACTTGAAGTCAGACAAGACAGCTGCTCCTACTAGGATTGTGGTTTTAAGACCAGGTCTTCAGAGAGTTTATGATTACGAAGACTCGTTGACTACTTCTTCAGGGACGACCATGGAAGGAAGCAGAGGAAGCAGCATAGAAGAGTTTCTTGAGGAAGTGAAGGAGAGGTTGAAAGGTGAGCTTCAAGGAAGAGCTCTCAAGAGAAGTTCATCAGTTAGAGGAAGCGGGATCGAGACTCCTTTCAGCGAAAGACCTTTCCCGAGGTCTGAATCGATGAGATCATATGCTGCGAGCGAGGTTCAGTGCAATGCACCAGACTCTCCTCAAGAGTTTATAAGCAGAGATACAAGAAGACTTTTGGCTGAGAGACTTAGGAATGTTTTGAGGAAAGAGATGAGTCCTTCAGATGATTCTGTGATCAAATGTAGTAGCAGTAGCCGATTGCGACCTACTGTATCGGATGCAGAGAGCTTAAGGAAACAAACTGAGGAAATCAATGAAGAAGAAGACTCGAGGACAAACAGAAATGCTCCTAAGAAAGATTCTTCTCCATCACCAAGAAATCTCAAGAGATCACTATCTGCTCCTGTCTCAGGGACATCATTTGGTAAGCTTCTGTTAGAGGATCGGCATGTTTTGACTGGCGCGCAGATCATGAGAAAGCACGAGGCTGTAATAACTGAGCAGGAAGAAACAGAACAAGTTGCTGCTGTGGATCCGATCAGGAGGAAAGAAAGATTCAACCTCAGGAAGAAAGTCTCCAGCTTTAGATCAACTCTTAGAGGAAGAATCTTTGGTAAGAAGATACGTTCAATGATCGAATCAAACAGTTTCGAGGATGAATCAATCAAAGACTTTGTAACGGGTTCGAGGTTTAACAGCTTTTACGATCGAAATGTAAGAACTTTTTCGACTCTCTCTCTCTCTCTTTCTCTCTGCTATCACCAGTTTGAGGTTTCCTTATAACCTAAACTAAGAACAAGTCTTGTTTTGTTTTCTTCTCAGGAGAATTCAACAGAAGTGCCTCCAAGCCCTGCATCAGTCTGCAGCAGTACACCAGAAGAGTTCTGGAGAAATGTCGATTATCTCAGTCAGATTTCGACACCTGATGTGACTGTAGCGGATGAGAACGGTATGCCTCAAGTCTTCAGAGACATCAGTTCCAATCTAAGTGGTAAGAGAACTAAAATAAGTTCTCTGTTTTAATTTCTTGAAATGTTCCCACACACTTCTTGAAGTGTTTCTCATTCTCTGTTTCTGCTGTTTCAGAGCTAAGAAGGCAGATAAATGAGCTTGACTCCGACATACAAGTGCCTACGCCTGTGGAAGAAGAAGCGGCTCGAGAGACTGAGAGCATTGTTGATTTAGGAAATCCAGACAAAGTATTTGTTAGAGATCTTCTTGTGGCTTCTGGTTTGTATGAAGGGAGAACAGATAGATCATTGTCTAGATGCGATCCATTTGCAAAGATTATAAACAAGTCTGTTCTTGAAGAGACAAAAGAGAATCTCAAGAAGAGAAGCAATCAGAATCAAGAAGACGAAGATATGGAAGAGAGTACTAGAAGTGAAGATAATCATAACATACTGTTTGATCTTCTGAACGAAGTACTTACGGTGGTGCTTGGACCATTGACAACAAAGTCAGGTTTCAAGAAGAAATTTATGAGCTCGTGTGTATCTGAACCAACGGCTATAAGAGGTAAATATCTGTTGGAATCAGCTTGGAGGATCATGTCGGAGTACTTATATTCTCAGCCAGAGAGACCCTTTTGTTCATTGGATGGGATCATTGGTTGGGACTTGGAGAGGTGTCCATGGAGTGGTTTGATTGGTGAAGAAGTTAATGTGTTGGGGAGAGAAGTTGAAGGTATGATCATGGCGGATCTTGTTGATGAAGTTGTCAAGGATCTAAGAACACAAATGGTCTAAGATAAGAAGATAAGAGAGTTAAGATATTGAAGCAGAACTGATTGGTTTGGTTTGGTTTGGTTAATGTGGATGGTTTTTTTGGTGAGTTTCTGTAAATAGGTTTTTTTTTTTAATGGGGTGTTTTTTTCCTTGAAGAAGAGAGTTTCCATGGTACCTGTAAATGTTTACTTGCAGTACAGGGAAGCTAGATTCTTGTGATTGCTACATAATTACTATTTTACTAATATACTAAAGAGGAGTTTTTAAATTGTAATGGTGCACACTCATAACTGTGATTTGACAAACAAGTTCTGGAAAGTTCTTATGTCAACTTCTGATAGACTTGAGCAAAAGTAGAGGGAAGATTAGGGTTTGCTTTTTAGTAACGCTTTGGAGAAAACTTGACCTTGATTTTGCATTTGGGAGAAGCTCTGGGAAGAAGAATCCCTGCAAAATTTGGAAGAATCTGATGATCAAGAACGAAAGCCAAGATGGTGTAACTATTGCAAAAGAGATAAATCATTACGAAGCATTGTGCTACTACAAGGAAACGAAACTCAGTGATGATGAAAACAGACAGACAACAAAGAACATGTTTCAAGTTTGGAGAACCTGGGCATATCTCTAGGGATTGCAGAAAGAAGAGAAACGAAAAAGCTTACATGCACCAAGAAGAAGTTAACATGGAAGAATTATCGCTTTCAGCAACTCATATACCAACACAGTTCAAACCACATGGATTCTTGACAGTGGAGCAACAAATCATAAATTGTTCACAGATTATAGATAAATCAATTCATAGTCGCATTAAAGTGGCTAGTGGAGAGGTGACTATGAGTAATGGGACAGGAAGTATCACTATTGCAACAAGCTTGGGTCAGAGAATTGACAAATATAGCCAGAAAATCTACTTAGTGGAAGAGTTTGGTTTCGAAAATGTTTTCAAGGACAAAGACTGGAGACTAGTTATGGATGAAGAAATCAAAATGATAAAGAAAAAAAAAAACCAGACTGGATATCTCAAAGAAAAACTACAAGGAAATCGATTCAAGAACATACACAAACTCCACATTCTTTGTATCAGTTAATCATTCTGACCTATAAAAAATCAATGAAATATGATTGATTAAACTGCTAGTTTGAATTACATGAGTTAAGGAATGAGTACCCATTGCCATGGGCGTACCAAGGTTCAGACTAGTTTTCTCAATTGCAAGACAGAAAGCTCGGTTCCGGCAAGAATCGATAGGTCGAGGAGGCCGAGGAGCTTCGGCTGCGTCATATAATCCAGCTCGAACTGGTGGCGAGAGGGCCTTGTATCAGCTGGAAGAAGTGGGGGCTAGAGTGAAAGCTGATAGCTTAACCAACTATGGATCTTGCGAGTCACTGATCAACACCGAGTCACCGAGAGAACCGACAGAGAAAACCCTTTTAAGAATGAGAAACGATTGGTTATAGAGAAAAGCAATCAGTTTACTGATGACACAGAAGCAACCAACTTGAATTTCGTCTCAGAAATCTGCAGAAGAAGGATTTGTTACGCCGGAGAGAAGAAGAGAGGAGATATGTTAATAATGAGACCAATTTTTTAATTATATTTTTTGAAGTATTTTCTAAATGGTAAACTTAAAGGTAATTTTTTTAGAAATAAGTTGAAATATATCATATTATTAATTGACAAGTAAGTTGAGCTGTGGTTGAAAGTTATTATGATTGATTACCTTTTGCCTCTTATGTAAATTGACTTTAATTACTTTTAATGAAATAATTGATTAAGTAAACCATTAGTTTTGATATAATTCGGTTTCTTTTTAATTTATATGATTTGATTTATTTGTTAGGCTTTATTTGATGTTAGTGTCCAATAAATATTGTTTTTTTTTCATCAGTCCAATAAATAATGTTTTAAGTCGACTAATTACATTTAAAAACAAAAACCCTAGATTTTAGAAAACTATATATACTCACATGAGTCTCATTTTTCTAAGCGGCTTAGTTTTATTTTTTTTACCGTATAAGTTAGAGTTTAGTATGTGTATTTCTTATTAAAGTCTTCCCATTGATCCATTGGTGCATCTTCTCGGATTTCAATGTGTTACAGGTAACTTGCAAGAGAAAGAATCCTAGACGAAAAAAGCAAATATTGTTACAAGCTTAACACGTTAAAGAGAAAACTTAATTAGGTTTCACTGCTTCCCTATCTGCTTATATAGCTTCGAAGTTTATGATACTTGCAACTGATATTAACCGTGGGCTTAATTTACAGAAAATATATCACTACTTTATCTCCTTCCCCACTCAAAGATTTGGTATATTAATTATAACTAATGCTTTGATTACAAAATCATTTTTGTTTGTATTATTTCGTTTTTCTGTTCATACCGTCCTATCTTAGAAGCATGATGATACATCTTATGTTTGCTTTCTATGTTATTTTTATAGATTTAGTTCATTGCTTTCTTCTTTTCTTCACTTTGGTTCAATAAACGTTGTATTATACTATTGTGTGTCAATTTAATTTAGTATTTCTTTATGAAAGTTAATCTTTATAGTTGTAAACCTAAATAATGATTCTATTATCATTCTGATTGCATTATATCTTCATCTTCTGTACAACATAAACTTTTCATCCGAAAAGCTACTGCTAATATGTTTTGTTCAAAAAAAAACATATTAGAGATGAATGAAAAGAATCATTGACGTGAAACCGATTTTTTAAAAGTATCCATCCCTATTAGGCCATTGGAAATATGTTAGTAAAGTTTCATTTTGTACTAACAAATAGTCTCTACAAGAAAATTAGACATGTGGTTAGTGCTACTTCTTCTATGAACCAAACTTGTAATGCTATGTTAGTGTTAGTGTTAATCATAGCATATGAATAGATGATGATTCCAAAATCTTCTTCTGATACCGTGTAAGTTGGGTAGTTTCTGGTGATTTTTCTATTAACTAGATCCGGAGTAAGCTCTCCTTGGTTGCGGCATAGGAGAAGCCTGGAACTCAACATGAGATACTATGTATCATTGGGATTCCACATTCATCAACTAGACGAAGTAATTGGAACTCAAATAAGTGGTAGCTTTCAAGTAAGCATGAAGTTATATATTCATACGTTTAATAGATTCTTTAGCCACTCACTAGAGCGTCGGATAATCCTAAGGCACACCATTTTGATTGAGAACAGAGTAACTTCAGGCTCAAGCACATGTTGCTTGAACGAATGAAAAGTTTGAGAGGAGGGAGAGAGAGAAAGTGGAGAGGAGAGAGAGAGATTCAAAGCTGGTCTTGACTCTGAGGATTCTCTGCCGTCTGATGAGGATATTTCTTTCTCCCACTCTCCCGAAGAGGAGGACGAATAAATTTAAGAAATAGCTCGTAACATGCAAGCTGTACATATATTTAGTCAGAATTACAAGAGAGACTATAACCTACAGGTTAAAAAAAAACCTACACGGTAAAACAATGTAAAGACCGTGCCCAGCTTGCATGTTACCGTATAGGTTATGTGTTTTTGTTTTGTCTTCTAACTTTTAGGTGTATGGTTCGGAAAAATGAACACTAAGAAGACACATGTTTAGTGACAATTACAAGAGAAACAAAATGGCTCAAATAGAAAGTCAATCTTCTAGCTGGATAAGATATCTTCATGTAGTAAATTGTTAAACTATAATGATTTTGAGATCTCTCTTCTAACATTGAGAGGATGTCATTTAAGCAAAGCATTGAACTTTAATAATTTTGGGACCTCTTCTTTCGAAAACAAAAAAGGTTTCTTGGAGACACATTCGTCTCTTTTATAAGTGATCATCGTAGTAATTTAGTATTTTTCGTCAAATACAATATCTCCATCATTGCCGTCAACATGACAGCGGTTTCTTTGGATTTGCTGATTTTCAAAAACATTTTGGATCGCATACATAGCCTTAAGAACATGGTAGTTGTTTGTTTGGTTATTTAGTTTCTCCTTATCATATTATACTGATTTGATTGTATATATGATTTTCATGTTTTTCTTTGTCTTTATTTATTTTTAAAATTGGGCTGTTTGCAATTTGTCTAATAAGAGACTTCAACTAGCAGTGTGAAAGATAATTTGTTTAGCGTGTTTGATTGTTTTGGTTAGCTATAACGACTATCTTAAATGTCATAATTATTGTTGTTTAGTATTTTTTATTTTTACTATTTTTTTTATTGATGTAATATTTTTAATTTTTTGAGATTATTAAGCTAAATGAAATAATTTTTCGGTGATACAGCTTTTGAAATCTACCGATGCAGATGCTGGTTACATTGTTATCAAAAATTAGTTTAGTGTATGACCAAAATAAAATTTGTGTTACTGATGTATGTTTCTATATCCAAACTACTTTTAGTTATAAGCATATATGAAAATGAATATTAGGTAAAATACAGATATGAAATATAATTGATGAAAAATAATATTATAATAATTTATAAATGATATTTGCCTGCGTGATGCGCAGGCGGTCACCTAGTTATTAGTATATTATATATATTTTTTAAATTATTTATATCCTTGTGTAATTATAATTAACACTTTTATTAGTTTGTGATTTTTTAATTAAAAGTAATTAACAAAAAATTAGTCAATTTACGTTATTAAGATTAAAAAAAATTAAATCTACGTTATTATTAACAGTTATATTATTAATGATCAAAATTTAAAAGTGAAAGAAACTGAATCGGTCTCTTTTGTTACAGAAAAAAAAAATCTCTCTCTGTCTATGTCTCTCTCTGTCTCGGTAATTCCAAAGTTGAACCCTAATTCCGCCTCATATCGTCTCTTCCGACCGTTTCTCTTATCTCTGTCGTATTTCGTCTCCTTTTTCACGAACTCGAGTGGAGATTCTTTATTTTCGAGAGTGGACTCTTCGTTTTCTATTGTTAAAAATCTCTCATTTTTTCACGAACAAACTTGCTCCAGTAACTTCAAATCTTTTTTTTGAGTTTAAACCGTTTAATTGCAAGTAATTCCCGTGATTTAAACCGTTTTCCAAAAACTATCGCGGTGATATTAAGGGTTTCTATCGATGCTTATTACGGCTGATTTTTGCCGTCGTTGATTTACATATGGTGGCTGATTTGTTAGATCTATTTGATTTGGTGTCTGGTTTATCAATGCATCTGTGGCTGAGTTTGTTTTATGTTTCGACTGAGTTACGGTTTGCTTTACGGCTTATTTACGGTTTATCAATGCATTTGTGGCTGAGTTTGTTTTATGGTGTGGCTGAGTTATGATTTATACTCTCGCTGATTTAACTTTCTTATCAGATGGCTAAGGTTATTTCTGAAGGACAAGCAAGGGATTACCCTCCAAGACTTTACGCAGAAGGAGAGTCTAATCTGGTGAATAGACCCATTAATCACAATTTTAAGATGGCAGATCTCCCTGGGATTAGAGAATCAATAGGTCAAGATGTGTGGGATCAAATGAAGGAATTACCTATTGGAATAGTTGCTAAGCTATCTGACAGCTAATTCACGTGGTATGGTAAGACTGTACACTATCTTCTATGTAGACATTTGAGAATACATAAAAAAAGAGATTTGGTATCTCGTGGGTGGTCAACCTATCAGGTTTGGCTTGAATGAATTTGGTCATATCATGGGTTTAAACACAGATCCAATGCCTACAGAGATGTTTGAATCTGAAGCTGACTACATAACGTTCTTCAAAGAATTGAATGTGTCTGGTGGGGAGGGACCAAAGTTAGATGAACTTAGGGCAGGATTATCAGTGTGTCGGACATGGCCTCCTCAAAAGCATAAATGGTTGGGGCTGTTACTTCTTCAAGCCATAAGTATTATAAGATTGCATCATAATTCTAGAATATCATTCGAAAGTGCAAAAAGAGTTTTTGATGATGAAGCCATGAAGACTTATCCATGGGGTCGGTCAGCATTTGAAACTCTTGTTGATGCTATAAAGATGTTGAGGCCTATAGGAAAGTCGTACACCATTAGTGGTATGGTTTACGTGTTACAGACTTAGGCGTATGATTCAGTCAAATGCTTTGGAGAGCGATTTGGGAACGTAGTCAATAATGATGAGATGCCGTTGTTTTGATGGGGTGGAAACCGTACACGTTCAACAATGGAATCGATCGTTGCTGAAGATATCAGAACGTATGGTAAGGTAAGGTTTTGGCTGTGTTATGATAGTTAATGGTTAAGTTATGTTTTTAATAATGTCTGAGTTAGTTTACATATGGTTGCTGAGTTATATTTTTGTGATGGATGAGTTATATTTTTGTGATGGCTGAGTTCTATTTTTGGAATGGCTGAGTTATATTTTAGTGATGGCTGAGTTATATTTTTGGATGACTGAGTTATATTTTAGTGATGGCTGAGGTATTGAGATTGAAGTCAAACAGATGAAAGAGCACCTGAATGCCATGGGGGTAGGGCAAGCTGGCCAAAAAATTGGTGATGGCAAATCAGATTTCAGAATTAAGGATCTGGTCCAGAAGAAGAAGCCACAACAACCGACACCTCAAGTTCCATGAAAACTGCCACAAAACTACTCTGTTACTAGTCCTATGGTAAGC